TAGGATAGAAATCCTATAATGAAGTCTAATGCATCACAGCTAAATGTCAGATCCATGGCACTCAAAATGTGAGTTTAAAAAAGAAAAAGACGTAAATAGGAAAAACAGTAGTACATGTACAGAGCAGTAGTACCTAGGGATTTGGATTAGTTTAATGTCTTTTTTGTGCCAAGTGAAATAACAATCAGTGAAACACTAATTGCTTTGAAACACTTCTAAGGAATATAGCAGTAGATGCAAATAAATATACCCAAACCAGAAGGGGAGGCAGTCTGGATGATCTAAGTAATGCTAATGAAATGATCCAATAACGTATGTCTGTGTGTAATTACAGCTTTCTAAACTGAAATGGCACTTATCTTACATTTCTTGCTGCAAATGATGACATCTTGCAGTAGATGTGTAGAAATGCTGTAAAAATGAGTTTGAATCTTTCTTAGAATTTTTATTAAGTGCCTCATCCTCCTTTCCCACCCACCACTCGATGCGCTCTTAAATGTGTAACTAATCATTTGATGAAGGTTTTTTTTAAAAAAAAAAGAAAAAACTCTGTAGAAATTAGCTGAGAGTCTGAATCCTGAAGCTGAAATCTCCTCCTGCACCATTTTTCTTATCTCAGCCTGAATCTACCATGTTGTCTTAACGGAGTGGATGAGTTGAGCAGGAGAAGAAAAAGGGCAATTGCAAGGCTTATGAACTAACATATGCTTTTTCAGGTGTAGAGACATTTTAACATTTTCTGAAATACAAAGTTGCTGTACTTTAGGGATTAATCAGCCTTAAAAACAAAAACAACCCCCAAAACAACAAACAACACACCCAAACAACAAAAACTGCTCATACATTCAATTCTACTTATAGCACAATCTACTCTGAGCTATGCGAAGGCTGCTCTGGAAGTAATGCCTCCTACCTATGGTGTCAGCCCATGATGTCAGACGTAGATGTTGGTGGCAGTAGAGGCTGAACCTTCCCACCAATATTCTGTTACATTTAGTTGCTGTGTAAGGGATGGCTGCTAAGGGGCAATCTGACAAAATGGCATCTAATGTGAAAGTGCTGATGAAGCAAAAGTGTGTAATTGAGTTACTCCATGAGGAAAAAATGGCACCTGCTGGCATTCATTTGATGCATGTTGAATGTTTCTGGAGACCACAGAGTGGACATGATCATGGTGAGGCAGTGGGTGGTGCGCTTCAGCAGTGGCGACAGTGGGTCATGTCCACTGATGCAGATTGTCAGGAGCACAGCATGCAGGCTCTGGTGAAAATGCAAGCTACTGGTGGTGACTATGTTGAAAAATAATGTCTTGCAGCTGAGAATTTCCTCTGTCAAATAGCATAATTGCACTCTTTGTAGCTAAATAAAAATAAATAGAAGGCATTACTTAGTGACCTACACATTAAATCTGAGAAGTAAGCTGAAATTTTTGCTGAAATATTACTATATTATAAATGAAAAGCAGAGTTGGGTAGCTGGTGAAGATATCAGTCTATTTGAATTTGCAGTGGAAAAAATCTATTGTGATTCTGATTTGCAAGGAGTGTTTTAACAAATTGATAAGTGTACATTGTTTTAGCTTCTGAGCTTTCGGGGTAATGGAAGTGCAATTGAGTTTGAAGTTTAAATACAGTTCAGTTAGTTTTGTTTGGTACATCGTAATATTACTACAGTTTTTCTGTAAGATTTCTCTCTGAATGGAATTGAAAGCTTGCAATTTTGTCTCTTTGTAGATCATCTGATAAATCAAGAATAATGGAAAGCTGTGACGTGTAAAAAAAATAAATAAAATTCAGTATATGCAAAATCCCCACACCTGCATTACAGTTGAAAGCACTGCTGTAGCTTTTATGTATCCTGACCTAAGAAAGTAACATCACAAGTGAGGACCACAAATATTACTGTAGTGGTGTTGCACATGCATCTTATGTTTGGTTAGCACCTGTTATAACCTGGTTATAACCTGTTAGTTATGTTTGGCTAGCTACCTTTCAATTTTTTCAGCAAGCTTAAAATACTTGTCCAAATCAAAAATGGCTACAATTGACAGCTTGATGTTGTCAGCTTTTTTAGTACACCAGGAAAATAGTATCATGAACTGTTAAATATTAATATTGTTAATACAGTTATAGCATTAGCCTTTTTCTTATTCTGCTCATTAAATCTCTTTCATCTTCAGAGCTTGGAACTATGCCTCTCATTGAGCAGTTCTGGTTGTTTCAATCTTAAGCTTAGCTTTTTATGTGAATGAAATTTGTTAGTACAAGAATTGCAATGATCTGCTAAGATTATTCATCAAATGCAAAAAGCTTTTTAAGATTACATTAGAAATGGGTATTTTGTTTCACTGTAAGCAAGCTGAAAAGGCAACGCTTTCCTGTGATGATGACAACATAGGAATGTTATCTGACCATATGCTTTGTTTGTGTTGCTCCAAATTAACATGGTGAAACAATTTACAGTTAGAGATCCAAAGAAAGTGGTTGATCCTGGTGTATTTATATCTGTGTGGCATTAATGTCTGCTTTCTTTCCCTTTTGTGCACTTTGAGTTTTTTCTAGAGGATATATGTATTTTTTTTTCCCTTTAAAGGCATTATTCAAAATGCTTTATTGGCTGAAAGTTGGTGGTTAAAATAGAATATCATTAAAATAGACTTCTTTTGGAGAAGAAAAATACCACAATATTTTAATTAAGACACACAGGTTAGAGGTCGATATCCCATACTCTGCTGCCTCTGTTCTGTTCGATAGGGAGCTCTGGGAGGGAGATTGAATATCCAGCAATCTGTGTTGGGAACTTCCATCCTTTCAGTGTGGTTTGCCCGAGAATTTCTGTAGGTTGCACCCAAATAGCTGGGTACAAGTCTCTCATTCAAAAGTATTCAAAATTGCGTTCAACTTTTCTAAGTCTAACTTTTGTCTTTTGTAGTTTAATTGGGGAGGTGGTTGGGAAAACAAGGGGAAATAACATATAATCGTGCCTAATGACTCATGCTCCTATGCTGTTAAACTCAGTAGGAATGGCAGTGCTTTTCCTTAAAGACTTGAAAGGTGTGAGGGTGGAAGAAGAAAGAATGAGAAGGCACTCTGCACCTTTTGTTAACTTAATGAAAAATCCCTCCAGTTTCTTTTGGATGCTTTATTGATGTTTTGCTTTTATTTTTCAATTAACATATTTTTGTCTTGGTCTCATGGGAAAGTGAAGAGCCTGGTAGAATTTCTGCAGAACTTGACATTCTTGTGTTGGGAAGATCTTCTAGCACCTACAGTTGATATTTGTAGTTATTCATAAAGTGTCGCTGTCTTTAAAAAGAACCAAATAGTAAAATCCAGACTTTCTAGAACCAAGGACAGCTTTTCCTTCACTGTGCTGCTGGGGCTTAAGGCACATTGAAATATACTTTCATTCACCTCCGTGAGCAACGATAATTCTCTCAACATGCATTTTGTTATTGCCTTAAAGTTGTTTTTTTAAGTGACATTCTCAAGGCTTTGTAGTTCAAAGCATAGACTGCATGGTGAATTTAGTAGAAGAACCTGGAGAAATTCCCTCTCTGATATCCTCGATACATGATTCTGTGAAAAACATGCATTGATAGCATTTCGGTTTTAACTTCAGTGTTTATATAACTGCTTCTCTAGAAATGATTACTAACAATAAAACATCAACATTGAGTTTTGCATTTTGATGTTTTAGGAATACGAGACATTACATTCAAATCTCCAGTTATTAGTTCTTACTTAATATAGACAGTTAAGCTGAGTTTACATTGGGAAGTTCAGTGTTTCTGCCTGGGGACATGCTGAAAAGCTATCATTTCTGGTTTAAATGTTTTCCAAAATGAATTTGGCTCATTCCATCCACTTATTATTCTAAAGAAGTACCAGATACAGCTTAGGAATGGCAATAGCCATAGCTGAGTCCACTTGCAGTAGGCAACTTCCATACCATCACCTTACTGGGGAGGCTTGGGCAGATTACTGGAAGAGGTACAAACAGTTCTGCTGTTGGTAGGAAAGATGTTGCCTTTAGTGGGGTTGCCACCCAAAAACCAGAGCTTGTAATTAGAACTTCTTTGATGGAGATGTAGAAATGGCAACAAAATTTCTTTTAAGTGCCTGAAAGCGGCAAAAGCAGCTGGCTCTGAAATCAGTTGTCTTAGTGTGAGAATCAACATACCGTTGGTAATCATCATCTTTTTTTAAATTTACACTCTTCTCCACTTCATCCAAGTATGTAACGTGATATGAATCTCAATTCCACGTTCCTGTTGTATTTTTACAATAATGAAGTAAGGGTATGAGGTTGTTTTTTTTTCCCTGTTGAAAGGAAAATAAGACTTTGAGAATAAATTTGGAATTTGGAGAGAGGCGAGGAGAAAATCTTAGTGGTTTGTTTGTTTGCTTGTTTGGTTTCTCTAAATGGGTATTATCCATATTTCTGTAATAACAAATCCATCATTTACCTGTGAAACCCAGAATAATCTCAAAAGAAGATGAAAATAATAACTTGTGAGTAACAATTTAGGAGGCTTTTTTGGTCAGTCAGAAAACTGTCACTTGGCATATTATTGCAAGGTAATCTGACTTCTTTTTCAGGTAACTTTCATAGTTGTGTTATTCCTTATTGGAGAAGTACTTTCTTCATGTTTCATTTAATTTCTGCCTGCCCTGCATATTTGAATATTTCTGGTCAAAATGTTTTTATTCTATTTTTACTTCTTAATTCTTACTTTCTCCCGGAAAGCATTGTTGTGTAAATTAAATGCAGAAGTCTGCATCAACATTTTGTTGATTTCTTCCTTATTTTTTTTTTTAAGCAGTAGAGGAAATGATTATGTTTTATCTTCCAAAATCTAAAGTTGTATCTCTTGGACTACTAAATAAGCTGAGTTAACTAGACTACTAAATAAGCTTGGTTACTGCTATGTTGTTTGACAACACAAAATTAAATAATCCTTAACATAATATTCCTAACTGGTATACTTTGTTTTTCAGGAGGACCCAAATGACATCGATGCCAAAAGGAAAGACTTGCATGTCAGTGATGGTGAGGACAAAGCACAAAGTGTGGAGACATTGCCTCCAGGTATTGCAGTAAAGTTTGTGATGAAAGATCCCTAGGCATAGATGCAACTACTTGATAGCCATAAAGCAAACCAGTTCTTCTGATTCTAACAATTCTTTGTAGTTTGGAAGTGATAGGATTAGCATGTATCTCTGTTCTTAAGGCTTCACCTTCCTCTTACCTGCTTCGCTATTACTTTGGGCTTAAAATCATAGGAAGAAAATTACTCTTTGCTAGTACATTTATGTCGCCTTGCAATAGGTTTATGCTGCTGTTAAAGCATCTAACAGAAAAGTTGTCCATTTCTCTGTGGACAGTGTTGACAGGCAACAGACAAGACACCTTGGAGCTATACTTCTGACTGAAGATTCAGTCAAGGTTCTGGCATTTTTTTTTTTATTTTTTATTTTTTTTACCTTTGTGTAGCTTTTGTGACAAAGGTATGAAGTAGTAGGTGTTTTCTTTTTTGAGCATGCTGATGGTGTACCTTATTTTTCCTTATTCTTCCTGAGTATTTGTCACACATTCACAAAGAAACAGCACCGTATGACTAGATATTTGAAAGAAGTGGAGTCATAACTTGAAGATGAGATGGGATTGTTGAATGTTACAGAACCTTCATTTGATGTGACTGCTATAAAAATTCTTCTGCCTCTTAACTGCTTCACATCAATGAGATTTAATGTTTGACTAGAATTGCTATAGCAAGGAGTGCAGAAGAGCTGAAATGGATTTAAATATTTGACACTGTATTCAAGAACTTTATAAAGATGACACCTTCTGATCAGATTGCTTCACAAATTTTTTTTTATTCTACAGTTAATCCTTATTTTTCTTAGCTATAAATAAGAGAAACATTTGAATTTGTTTGAGATCTGGAGGAAAGACCTAATTGAAGTAAACTTCCTTCTAAGCAACTGGGAACTTCCATGCCCAGTAATGTGACGTGTGATTCTTTTTTTACAGTTATAAAACCCTTTCACTGGATAAGCTGTTTAAAATTCATGGCGTTTTATTCCTGCAGCCTTTGGATTGCTTTGTCTTATTGGTTTCTGGAGAGGGGAAATGAGGCTCTGGTTATGTATATATGCTTTTTGGCAATTTTTTTCCAACCCAGCTTGGTTTCTGGCAGATTTTTCCAAGTACTTTTTCTTGAACAGAAATGTCTGCAAGTTGAAGGAATATTCCTGATACTGGAATTACAGGTCAGCCAGTGCACATCTTCCAACTAGAATTCTTCTTTCTGCTAATATTTACCTGGAAAATAAGACTTTAAAAAATCAATATTCTTAAATATTGAATATTTATGTATTCTGAGCCAAACCCCATCTATGTCCTCAGAGGTCTTCCTTTCTATGTTGCCCAAAGTAGCTGTTTAAGTATTAAGAGGTGGGAAGTATTACAGGTCAGAAGGGAGAGAGATCAGAACCTGGAAGGTTAGAAGCAAAATTAGATGTAAAGTAGGACAGGTCAGAACTCCTTTTTTAATCCATTGATTAGCAGTCTCTTTAAGACTTGATTTAACAGGCAGGATAATCCTTACTGCAAGACAGCATGAATCTCAAGTCAAATATCAAAGGCTACTCAGAATTTTGCACTCTCAAATCTATTTTGTTTATTTGAGTAGGCGACTTTTGAATTCAAATGGAATTCATACTTCTGCAGATACTTTTGGGGTGTTTCAAAACAAAATGATCAAATTTCAGGAGAGGTTTGGTTCAAAACTGCCTTGCTTTTTCCACTGAGGTTAGAGGACCTGTAATTTAGGTGTCACTATTATGCAATATGATGTCTTTCAAGATTTATACAAAATAAGAAATTATTTGCTGTTTTTAAAGATTATTTAGAAAAATGGTAGCTAAACCTTTTATACTACTTCCCATACAACCAAGTATATTACTCTTCTGTCATTTTATGATTTGTGTTGTGAAATTGTATTTCGTGTTTTGTGCAAATAGTGACATCAGCTTTTGTAGTAAGACTGTCTGACCCTGAACTCTCTGCATAAGTAGCAAAACCAAAACTATATGGCCGGTTCTTTTTAAATGCTTTTTTTGAGCTTTGAACAGGCAATGATAAGAGTTTCAACAGTTAGTCAGCTAGCTGCTTCTGTTAGTTAACAAATCTCTTAATGTCTCTTAGTCAAAATGATCATATTTATACTAGGTATCCTACTGCTTTTAAGCTCCTCTGAGTCAGGAAGAGGGAGAGCAAGCTATTTGTAGAATTCTGTGTCTATCCATTCCTACACTTTGAGGTCTGCTGCTTGGTTGCACACAAATTTATCTGCTGTGCTTTTTTCCCTTCTGTCTGACTTCAAGGTGCTTTTGCTGTTATCTGAATTTTTCCCTAATGGATCTGATGTATATTCTACACAGTTGACAGGATCTTCTGTTGGAGCCAGAGCCAGGCTTTGCCTGCCTCCTGCCTTCTGAAGCCAGATTCACTTGTCTTTTTATTCTATGGCCTGGCACTGCTTTTCACTAAATTTAGCACTGTGAAATGGACTACCTTCTTGACTTCTTTCCTACAACAAATCCACTTTTTTTTTTTATTATTATTATTTTATTTTTTTTATTTTTTAAATAGAGCTACTTATTGTTTCAGAGTTTAAAAAAAAAAAAAAGAAAGAAAGAAAAAAAAAAAAAGTCCTGTTTAAAGCCACCCGGTGTGTTTAAAAAATAAATATATATTGCACTATTTCAGTTGATTACCTCCTCCAAGACCTTAGAGTTGGGAAATAACTGTTTCTGTCTGTAGATGAAAAGCAGCCTCACTATATTTCACTTCTTCTTCTTCTTATCTTTGCTCAGCTTCTCAGTCTCAGAACAGTTGTACTAGTGATCACCTTAAAACTGAAGAACATCTAACCTTTGCATCTGTAAAATAAGCACTTGTCAAATGCAAGTTCAGCATTTGTTTGGTTCCAGATACCTAACCAACTGAGTGATTTTTGGCTTTATTTAACTCAAATAGCAAACTCTGCAGTTCACTTACTGTTGGATTTATTATCATGTTAGCTGTCAGTGTAAATTGCCTTAAAACTCACACCTAAGATTGAAATTACCAACCTGCTCAATTTAGGTTTTAGGTAAGCAACAAGCCATTATAATATTTAATTGCATTGAAATAGAAGTTTTCTTTCAATATTGGGATCTCCTAACAGAAGTTCACATAAGATAATTAAAGCATGTTTTATGGATGAAAGCTTTGAATGAGGAACACCTTAGTTTCTGTGCTTCACAAATTGAGAGAAGGAAGAAAGGTAAACATTGAAATGTCTGAGCAATCTCTAGCTCTCATTAATAGTTGTTGTAATAGTATTCCTTTTGTGTGTATTGGTATACTGTAGGATATGCCTGAACTTTTGTATTTGCCTAAAAGCTGATCTTAAGTATATTATATTAGAATGTCAGCTCTGTAACTTTCTTTCTTTAGTTTTAGTTACAGCTGGTATAAATTTGCTGTAGGTAACAGAAGTTTGACTGTCAGTACAAAAAGAAAGTGTTGAATCAGAAGTGAGAAATTAGACCTTTGATACATTTGACATTAAACTGTTTTACAGCTGAAGGTGAACATTCTGAAATTTTGTTCCTGGATAATAAATGTTAATCTGCCTTTCAGTTTTATGTATACGAGTTCAAGTGCTGCAATCAGTTACATAAATAGTACTTTCTTTGTTAAAGAGTAATTAATCTGTGATTCCTTTTTAATGTAAAGAAGGTTGCAGTTATGTCATGTAATTAGCATTGGAGAGCTGTGTGGTGCTCTGCCTACCTGAAATGCTAGCTTTTAAGAATAATGTCCTCTTATACTTCTAAAAGCCCTGTTTCTCGAATCGTTTGGTTTCTGTTTGAATAATGTGACAGTAGTAAATTAAATTAGAATGTCTTTGAAGCCTGGGCCTTTAAAAAGATCTACTCTGTTAAAGTGTATGAAAATTTGGAATATATTAAATTATATTTTAAATTGAAGTTGTGGTTGTAGGGGCAAAACCAACAAAATAGCAGATAAGATGATGCATGGCCATCTGATGATTAGTTGTGTGAACTGAGAGCTGTGAAATGGTTCAATTTCATTAATTCACAGGGTGTTCTGGAGCAACTTAATGTGCAAAAGTGAGTGTGACGCTACACTGTTAAAAATACTGTGGGGCTTAATTACTTCATTGCAAAATAAGATTAGTTATATTTGGATTTATGAATTCTCTTGAAGTTGCAGAGGTTAAACCGAATATGTTCCTGTTTTTCTTTTGTAGGCAAAGTTCGGTGGCAAGACTTTGATCAAGATGCTTATGTGAGCGCTACCATGGTGCGATCTGGTCAGGATCCATATGCTCGCAATAAGTTCAATCAGGTAGAAAGTGACAAACTACGAATGGACCGAAACATTCCTGACACGAGACATGATCAGTAAGTTCCCAACTGAGCCATGTTTGGCTTGGATTAGCCTTTTTGTTTGCTTATTTTGAACAGAGAGCTGTTCTCCTATAGCAGTTCTCCAACTTTCAGTAAGGAACAATAAACTGTGCTGCAATCCTTAAACAGTGGAGTAAAGAACAATGAATCTTCACAGAATCTCAGAATGGCCGGGGTTGGAAGGGACCTCAAGGATCACGAATCTCCAACCCTCCTGCCACATGCAAGGCCACCAACCTCCACATTTAATATTAGACCAGGCTGCCCAGAGCCCCATCCAATCTGGCCTTGAACACCTCCAGGGACGGGGCATCCGCAACCTCTCTGGGCAGCCTGTTCCAGCACCTCACCACTCTCTCTATAAAGAATTTCCCCCTGACATGCAACTTAAATCTTCCCTTCCTCAACTTAAAACCATTTCCCCTTGTCCTACAGTTATTAACCCTTTCAAAGAGTTGATTCCCCTCCTGTTTGTAGGCTCCCTTTAGGTACTGAAAGGCTGCACTGAGGTCACCCCGCAGCCTTCTTTTCTCCAGGCTGAACAAGCCCAGCTTCCTCAGCCTGTCTTCGTAGGGGAGGTGCTCCAAGCCTCTGATAATCTCTGTGGCTCTCCTCTGGACCCTCTCCAACAGCTCTTTGTCTTTCCTGTACTGGGGACTTCAGGCCTGAACACAGTACTCCAGATGGGGCATCACAAGAGCAGAAGGGGACAATCACCTTCCTGTCCCTGCTGGCCAGCCCTCTTCTTATGGAGCCCAGGATACCATTTGCCTTCTGAGTCGCAAGGGCACGCTGCTGGCTCATGTTAAGTTTTTCACCTATCAAGAACCCCTTCTCTGCAGGGCTGCTTGTTCAACAAGGACCACTCCTTGTTCAAGTTTGTCCTGTTTCCAGAACTTCCATCAGTGTGTATTTGGTATCAAGACTGACACTGTATTTCAATCTCGTTTTGTCCCTATTTATCTGATGACTTTTCTTGGTTTCTATGTTTGTGAAGGGTTCTGTCTTAGCTTCACTCTGGTGATTGAAATCTCAATAAACACAGCTCTCATCAGTATCCCTGCAGTGAAACTCTAGCAGTATTTTTATACTTGCTAGTCTCCAGAGACATGTGGCGCAGTTTTTTACATGGAGTTGGCTTGCAGGTCTTTCCCACAAAGCTGGACTGGTTGCTGAACCATTTTCCCATTCCTGAGGGAAACTGTAGGCAAGATAGTGCTGTGAACACATGCTATTATATTAGTTCAAAGTCAGGTAAATCTGACATGTTGTTCTGGTATATAAACTGTCCTGTGTTTATGGCTTCAAAGTTCATACCAGAGGTTGAATTGTTGTGTAGCTTGGAATTATGCTGGAATGATTGCTCAATGATGACAAATTTGTTTCCCTGAGTTGCAGGAATCACCATGCTATATTTGTGGTGATGTTTTCCTCTTCTTGTAGGAGTGAGGTAGGCAGTTGTTGAATGTGGTATTCCATCTAATAGACCACATTTATGTAAATAAAAGGATGCTTTCTTTTTTCCCCAACCACGAAGTTCATCTCACCTGCTTCTGAGAGAGAATGGAAGCCTGCTGTGTGTTGGTGCGGCTTTGTGGCTTCTCTGAACCTATGGAGTGGAATAAACAGGTATATAGAAGAAGCTACTTTTGAGGGTGACCAGCGTGGAGAAGGAGTCAATACTGGATCCAATACTGCTTAATATTTTCATTAATAACATAGATGGTGTGGCAGAGTGCAATCTCAGTAAGTTTCCAGATGATACAAAGCTGAGAGAGGGACAAGTACACAGGAAGCATAGAGTCCTTGGGAAGAGATAACCTCATGCACCAGTACCATTTGGGGGCCAAACTTCAGATGCTTGAAAGCTTTTGCCGTGTCTCTCTTGTACTACTTCCTGAATCAGCAAATTAGCATGCTTCAAAGCAAGATAAAAACATTTTTCTCATTTGGAAGAGACTGACATTTGGTAAGGAAATTAAGTGATTTGGACCAACCTTGCTTAAGCAGATTTGATTAATATTAAAATGAAGGTTGCTCATTATGACGTCAGTGACTTGAAAAAAAAAAGTTGGACTTCATAATTACAAATATTAATATTTTCTTTTAAAAACAAGGCAAGTACAGCCTCAAAGCATGAAATTAACCAGCTGTGTGTAGCTGAATTGCCTAAGTAATTCTGCAGCTAGGATGAGTGTACATTCACAGCTGTGTGTAGAAGAAGCTAGAAGAGATGCCAGAGGGAGAAAAGGAAGGTGACTTTTTTCTTCATAATGCTCCCTAGTAAGCAGCAGTATAGCAGAGGAGGTATTTGGAAAAACGTGGATATTTATTATATAATGTTAAATCCCTTATATAATAGTGTGGTTTGTGTTCCCTTTAAACATGCAATATTGCAGATGATGTAAGGCAAGTCTTGTAGTCTGGCATTAGACATTTTTAAATGGTCCTAGAAAAGAGCCTTGCAAGGCAGTGTGAGAGAGAGTCCTGAGGAAAGGCTGCATCTGTGCTGGGCTTATTAGACTTTGCTATGAAGCAGATTTAAGTGCCCATCAATCTGTAAATAGTCATCTTTCTAAAGAAAAGGAAATTACTCGAGCAGTAATTCCTGCAAATTGTTCATGGTGCTTTCCTTGCTGTCTTGCAATTAATTTTCCTTCTATTTTGGCAAGGACAGTAACTGCAGAAGCTGAAAACATTGCATTAAATACTTGTTTGATATCTGCCTAATGGAAAGTGCAAGAGTAATAGCCATAGGAGGAAGAATATGTTAAAGAACTGAGCGTTTGACACTTGGAAGCATGTTATTTTCAGTAAAAATTGAAGGCAGCTGGGTTAAAATTAATATTTCCTTTGGAATTGCTGCAACATTTTTCTTCAGGAAAACTGGGGAAATATTTGTTTCTATACTTGCATCTTTACTAATTGATGTCTATAAAGGCTATTTGACTCTGAAATAGCTACATAATAATACTTTTAAAGAGCTGAAATTCTCTAGGTTGTTTAGAAGCAGTTGAATGTGTAAATGCATTTCTTTTTTTGTACTATATTGCTTAGGTTTTTCTGTATCTAAGGAATTTATACTAGCATCAAGACAAGTTTTCTAATTGATAATTTTGTGAAAACTTGTCAGCAGTACGGGAAAACACTTTGGTTTGGCCCTTTAAGCTGCTTGCCATTGTTTAAGTAAAAGGGAAAAGCGAGAAACAGGCTGATAGATCATCTGAAATGAAGTGAGAAGGTCTGGGGAAATGTAAATGAGGTGATGCTCATGACACTACCACTTTCAACAGGATTGAGAAAGCTCTGGGTTTCTTATGTTGCTGTTTGGTTATAACATGTCTCAGGCTGAGAGCTGACCTGATCATGGTGGATTTTGGAGACTCAGGAGGTGACTGTCACAGTCATAATCAGAAATCTCTAAAGTCATCCTTTGGTCAGTGTGAAATAGTCTCCTGAGTAGGAGCTGGGTGGAATATTCCGTGCTTTTGGGCCTCCCACAGTTAAGATCAGTGGTTTTTGGTAATGTCTTTATTTCGATTAAACCTTTTTTCCCCTGACTCTACAGGTATTAGCAGGCTCTGGACTCATGTTCAAATTTTCATTCTAAATAGATAAGAAGCAAACTTTCTTGTCTCTTTAGTACCCAGATATCATCTGTTGTAATGAATGTCTCCTTGGTTAAAGGGAATTTTTCTACCAAAAGATGATTTCAACAAAACTCAGAGATTTCAAGTATTTGGCTAATGATATGAGCTGGCTCTGATTCAAAATTCTGGGGGAAAAAATATACTTTCTGTCTCTCATTAATTTTAATAATTTTTTCTAAGCATTGAAGGTCTAGTTTGATATTTTCAGTTCAAGTGCTGTAAGTCGAGGGAAGAAAATCACGCTTCCCAAAACTGGTGGTATTGTTTCTTTGGTTTGTTGAGTTTAACTGTGGCATTATTGACACCAACATAAAAAGAAGAGAAATGCTTAATTGAAGCATTCCTCTCATTTTATTTGAGAGTTTAAAAATCTTTTCTTCCTCTGAAATATGTAGTAGTGTTATTCTCCTGAGTTTTGTTTTTTTTTTAAATAACAGGCTTCATTGCCATGATTAATTACCTCTTTAGATGTGCTCTTTTATGCAAAGAGAACAATATAACTATTTTTATTATTATTATTATTCTAATGCATTTAATTTGGCATTATGACTTGCTTGCAATAGACTTGAACTAAATTTACTCAATTTCATGACCTTATTCTAAATTGGATTGATACAGTATTCAATTAATTCTTGTCACGCTTAATTGTGATCTTCTAGGGTTGCTTTGAATTATTGAGCATGACTTATGATGCAGGTTTCAATGGAACATTTCAACAGATTAAATTTCAAGTTTGAATTCTGAGTGCTCATCAGTAAAGGACCAAGCTTCTTGGCCTGTGTCAGGGCTTCATAGGAAACTGTGTGCACAGGAGGCTCATCTTGTGTGGGCAGTTTGGAAATTACCAGAAAACAGGATAATTCTTTTAGCTTTTGTAGGCTTTTGTATGTAATAGCTGAATTCCTTTCAGCTGTTCAGATGAATTGCCAAATGATAGAGGAGGTTTTAATTCTTTACTTTCCATGAGTATTTGTGATGTATTGCTTCAACTTGGGTGTTTGTGGAAATGCTGTCTTGTACACCCACCACTGGAGGAAGAAAGCTAGATAAGGCCTTGCTAATCTGACACAGAGCAGTTGTACGTTTGGCACAGGCTTTGTTTTTCTTCAGGGCAGTGAGAACACAGTGGCACAATAGCATTTTGTTTCATTACCAGTGCAAACATTTGTATGACCTTATGGGCGTGTTGCATTGAAAGCACTATTCTTCCTTGGGATTCTGGAGCATGGACAAGGAGAAGCAGCAGATTGCTCGCTTTAATTCCTTGAAGCTGAAGGTTGTGTGATTTATGATTTGTGACAGTTGTTTCATCAGTTTTTTTATACAAGCACTTGGCTTGTTTTTGAAGTTTGGGTAGTAATACAACTTTCCTTTCTTCCCTTAATAGCTAGCTTGATTCATACTGCATAGATTACAGTTCCTTGGTGACTTCACCACAGGTGTATGCTAATTCAACTGGGATTGCCCTCTCTGAAGATGTTTAGGTCTGTTGGAATTGTGCCCCAAATGTTTGATAAAGCATGTGTGAAGAAATGCATCACTCATATGTTACTTATGAATGAAGATTATGATCTTGACCTGTCAGACAGCAATGATTTTAACACAAACTCTTTGTTACACCATTTTTAGTATGCTATTCTCATTGCACAATGAGTCCTTTTTTAGGTTTATTGTCAAGGTATTCAAGTAGCTTAATTTTATGTAGATGTGCAAGAGTTCGTGTATTTTTAGAATTTTGGGGTTTTTTTTTGCTTTTTAGTTGAAGAGATCACGAAAAATCAGTTAGTGTAGATGGGCTATTGTAAGTCTCAATCTTAAACAGTTTTCTATGCTAATGAGAAGTACAAGCAAGACTAGGATGCAGTATTAAAAATAAAAGGGAAAGTGGATGAGTGCTTTTCTAAAGGAGACACATACAGCTTGTGAACCTCTGCTTTTTTATTAATGTGCTCATTTACTTAGACTTAAGTGGTCTTGAAGTGAAATAGAACTCTGATTTCATACTCAGTTGCATGAAAGGTATGTACCAGTAAACTACAGCTATTGTAGTACAGCAATGTTTATCTACCCAAATCTGACCCTGGCTCAGTCTGTTGTATACAAAGACGAGTGTCAAGAGTGGTAAAAGAGGAGCTGATTATAAATCATCTCGTTTGAAAATAAGAATCATCATTCTTTCTAGGTAGATACAGTGTGTACACAGTTTAGTAGATAACTGCTTTTTGATGAAGACTGTTTGTTAAGACTGTAATGTAAATATTAGATTGACAGACTTTTTGTCTTTCAGGTGTCAACGGAAACAATGGCGGATAGATTTGCCAGCCACTAGTGTGGTGATCACCTTTCATAATGAGGCAAGATCTGCTTTACTTCGAACTGTTGTCAGGTATGCCTGGGAGACAATCCATGACTTTGTATTTTTTTTCCCCACAAAAAGCACTTTGCTTGTGCTAGAATAGCTTTTGATAAAGAGAAGTAGCAAATCCATCATCCAAAGCAATCCATTATGCTTTTCTTGTACCATCTACAAAGGATGAAGCTGGCTCTTAATTTCACTGATGCCTCCAGGTCTTACATCCTGAAAGAGTGATCTTAAACAGACAAAAATGCTTCCCTTAACTACAAACATGTGAAAGTGTGAAATTAATTGCAAGAAGATATCTTGAGATTGGTTGTATAAATGGTTTCAAGAAGAATACGTGGAAGATGGATTTTTCAGGGGCTACTTTATCTGAGGGTATCTGCAAAGCTTCCATTGTCCAAACTGTGTAATTCACTCATTTCTGGAGGCTGGAAATCTGAGGGAAGAACAACTCTGTGCTCTTTTTTTCACAAACTCTTTACTGAGTAAGCTAATAGCTGTTGTAGAAAGATGGGATCCTGGACTATATTAAACTGTAGTTTAACAAATAATGTCATTAAAAGCACTGCTTATGTGAGATGGAAACTGCTTTGTATTGAATGCTTTTTTGTCTGTTTCAGTGTCCTTAAAAAAAGCCCATCACATCTTATTAAGGAAATCATACTAGTGGATGACTACAGTAATGATCGTAAGTACTTTTATAGTGTCCAAATGTTATTTTGTTTATTTTGCTGAGTCTTTCCATAAATGAAAGTAGGTGACTCAGTTGGGAGTTAGTCATATGAATGGGAATTTGTAAAGTCTGGTTCTAAACCTGCTCTTAATTCTTTTGTGTTTGTCATTGTGGAAGCATGAAGAGTTCTAAAATACTTCAGATCTATTTTATTGCTTCCTGTTAGCAGAAGAAGCAGAGTTTAGAGTTGAAAACAGCCTTCCCTTAGTACATTATGATGCAAAAATAAAACCCATGGCACTGGCACAAAATACTTCTTTGGAGTGCTGCTGCTCTCCATCACTTTTGGAAAATTCTTAGTGAATAAAGAAAGTCAAGATTTAAAAACTTTTAGGATATCGTAATGTTAATTTGAACAGTGAACCTCTGAGTAACGCTCTAACGGAAGTCAATGTCTACATTTGCAATGCTGATTGATACTTTAGGTTAGTTTAAACCTTAATGTTGCTTAAAAGCTTTCCTGTAAGCAAAGAAGACACAAGTTTTAATCTTTTTTTTTTTTTTTTCTTAATGAAATGTAGAAACTACTCAAGGTAAACACAAAGAGCAGAATTGATTAAAAAAAATTTTGAGAGTAAAATAAAATTAATTTTAAATAATATAATGATGGTGGTAATTTCTTACCCTGGTCACTTTTCTTTATTTCTGGAGAAACAAACAGGCATTTTTTAAGCATGATTCTTAATTATTTGTAAATATGATTGCTTTCCACTATGAAGTTTTTGTTCTGTTTTTGAAGAAAAACATACTTGTGGTAAATGAGACTGGTTTTGATCACTTTAATTATTATTATTATTTTTAAGCTGATGATGGTGCTCTATTGGGAAAAATTGAAAAAGTGCGAGTTCTTCGAAATGATCGCCGAGAAGGTAGGCTTGATTTGGGAAAAGGAAGATACAAATTCCACTGTGTTGCCTTATCTGCTTATCAAGTCTTTTAAAGGAACTTTCTGTATTGGAAGGGCGGATTTTTTGTTTCATAAATCACCTTACAAGTGGAAGGAAAAAAAGCTGTTGTATTTCTGTGATTAAAAATAGTAATTCTAATTAACTTGCTATTGTTGTGTGCAGTTGCACATGTGACAACTTGATACATTGCCTCTCATCCTCAGCCCCTTGTTTTTCTCACTCCAGTGAATCCTCTGTTAAGCTGCTCCAACTGTATGCAAGGTCTCACTGTAAGTTGTATGTAAGTCTGCAAAAATCCAGCTTAAAAATATCCCTCTTTGCTGGTTCCCTTATGAGAAGTGGTTTTAAGGATTCAGTTGATGGACAGCCTGTCAGACTGTTTGGCAAACGTGAGTTTAAGCAGCCAGGAGGGCCGGGACCACATATGCCAGCTTTTCTTGCATCCTTTTCCTTTTTGTTGCTTTGCACGTTATGGCCTCATATCACTGAGCTGTTTAGTCACAGCTTCCTGGCTGTGTAGCTTAAAGTATTAAAGGCAACTGTTACTGTACAGCTGTTTGAAATAGTAACTAGGAGCTGACAGTTGAAATAGCTGACTGAGTTCGCAGATACCTACTGTTTGTTTTTATAGGCACTGTATCTTCTAGGCTGACAGACTGGAGAGCAGCTAGAATCATTAGATTGCCAGAATCTGGAAGTCGCATGCACAAAACCTGTGTTATCCCATAATTAAAGTAATGACTTACTGGGGATTCTTAGTATTTAAGCATTTGTTTGGAATATGCTTGTAAACAAAGGCTTGTTAGGAAAGCAGGCCTTTTATGACTTTCCATGGTTTTGGGGTTCTGAGAGAGCCGATCTCATCTCAATGCAACATTTGAAGATTATGATAGCAGTAATGGAAAAACTGACTGAAATAACCCTTTGATTTTTTTTTTTTTTTTCTGTACTATAAATATTCTGTACCGTACATACAGAGTTTTCATTCATACTTCAAAATAAACACTAGTATATCTGAAAAAGATATGATTTGACAAATCTCACTGTCAGAAAAGAACTGCTTTCAAATTGAAGGTGCAGTGCTGGTTTTCTTGGTGTTTTTATGAGATTAGAATGAAGTTATCAGGCATGAAAGCTACTGTGCTGGTTAGGAAGTTTTTCCTAGATATGCGTTTATGCAGCTAGATAATTTTCTTTAATGAAAATATTTTCAGATTTCATTTGATTGCTACATTGTTGTGATGGAGCTTAATGCTAAGTTTGCTTGTTGTTTTTATATGAAGACTTACACTGGTATCTCAGACAGGGATGTCACTGACTGCTTTTCTTTCAGAAATATGTCATAGTAGATTTAGGTTTCATATGTAGGACCAGTTTGCTATGGGAACACATCCATCTTGAAGAGTCTGGTTATGGCCAGGGGAACTTTCTGGACTCTTGCTGTCTTATTGCTCCATGTGATTATAGAGGACTCGATGACCCAAATGTTTACTTCCACATTTTTTGAAGTAGAAGAAGACATTGGATTCTATGAAAACAAAAGTTTGAAATAAGAAACTCTGGAAGGAGGAACTGCAGAAGTAGAACAAATGTTAACACTGTGCTTGAGGAATGGTTTGTGAGGTAACTGCATGGAAAAGTGCCAGGGTTTGGGCTCAGGAGAGAACCTAAGTATATCTGATTAGCTGCAAATGTACAACAGGTAAAGTAGAAAGCACTGACACAGGATCACCACAGAGCATATCTACAATACCGAAGTACTCTTATGATAAGAGAGCACAAGGATCTTCGTGAAGCTGTTTAGTTGCTGAATGTTGGGCAGAGCAAGCTTGTTCTATAGCTATTTACTCTTAAGTTTTTGTTCTCTTTGGCAGTGACATTTTGCAAGTTTTATTTTGTGAAGAGGATGAAAAGAAGTAGTTGGTAGTTTCTCGTTTGGTTGTTCAGGTTTTTTGTGTTTTGTTTTTTTTGTTGTTGTTGTTGTTGTTGTTGTTTTTTAAAGAACTGTTTCAATTAAGAAATCAATGTAAGTGAAATCAGTTAATTTTGAAGAGTAATAGAGAAAAACAGGCAGAAAGTTTGCTAAGGGGAGAGAGCAAGCTGACTTTCTTCTGACTGAAGAACACAGTGGGGTGTTCCAGGGTGTGCATGTAAGTCTTACAAGGGACATGGAGGAATGGTAAAGTCATTCACTGATCAAATAATAAGAGCAAAAGCAAGAAAGGAACAGGGCAAATCAGTGAAGGACCTGGGTAAATGAGGTGTTGAGAAGTCTTTTGATTTCTTACCAGAAGTTTTCTGTTAAAGAAGTCTTTTCAAGGTGAGATTTATAAGCAACAACTGAAAAAAAAAGTGCTAACAGCAATGACTCTCCCCCCAAAAGAAACCAGCAAAACAAACAACAGAACATAAAAGATAACTACAACAACAAACAGAAGAGAATTACAAAAAAATGTAGAAAAGAAATGGTTGAAAGGGATAAGGAGAGAGGCTCTCAAACACGAATTAACAAAGTGTAGTTATTTCTGGAAGAAGCAGACAGAAGAATGGACAGGATATTCCTGACGGCTTCTAAAGTAGGAAGTGGAAGGAGTGTGGAAAGATGGTTAGGATCTTCAGTTCTACAATACGGTCATAGAGGTAGGGCTTCTTCATTCACTCAGCACTAATCCTTCAGTTGTGCTACTAAAATCAAATCCTATTCTGGATATCTGACAAAAAAATAAAATTGCTTTCCTTATTGATGTTAAGTAACATTTATCCCATTAATGACATCTGCTGTACTGCAGACCCAGCTGTCCTTGTGGACTGCTTTTTTTTAAAGGCACTTCAATTCTTCTGTTTAAATAAGATTAGAACCTGTAAAATTGGGTGCAGTAGTTAAGGATGTAGGCTTTTTTATTATGAATTGTTAACAGGCATCTTTTCTTTTTAAAATGAAACTTGTGTGTTCATGTCTTGAGTGAGAGTAATTAAATTCATTACTATCTTGAAATGCAATAATTTGTCTTGCTGCTGTTGATTGTTTTCTTCCAGAACCTACTTCAACTGTTTTTGTGTTGTTTTTTTTTTCTTTCCTTTTCAGGCTTGATGCGCTCCCGGGTCAGAGGGGCAGATGCAGCACAAGCAAAAGTACTTACTTTCCTGGATAGTCACTGTGAATGCAATGAACACTGGCTGGAGCCACTTTTGGAAAGAGTAGCTGAGGTTAGTAAAGAGTTCTTCTAAAGTAATTTCCTGAAGGAGTAGCTTTTAAATTTTAAAGCCATCTGGTTTATACTACATTAATTTTATGCATTTTTCTAAAGAAGCTTTTTCTCTGAAGTGAGATGATGGAGATGATCAGAGTATTCTGTGATTAAAACTCACTTTTTGTTCATTTAATCTGTGAACATAGAAATATAAAATGTGAATATTTATTATTACCTTCACAAGTAATTCAAATATATGCTTCTTTGGTTCTTTAGGGACCTCCGCAGTAATCTTTAGAGCAAAACATTGTTCCCTTCAACCAATATCATCTCAATGTAATTCAGTTTACCCTGAATATTTATGCCTCGTTAACATTCAGTGTGATAATGGTGGAGAGGTTGAGCTGTGAAACCAAAATTCTCATGGAAATTAACAGGGACTGTGGGCTCTCAGCTTCTGTGAAAATGATGTTTTGCCTGTGTCCCAGAAAAGCTAGTGACAGGACTGAGAGTTATACGTTTTTTCCGTGCTCTGGAGGAGCTCAGCTGAAGCAGACAGTGAATCAAGTGTAATCACAGAATCTAGGGAGTGTTCGAAACAACAGAGCTATTTCCATAATTGCATTTTCTTTCAGGTGAACACACATTTTAATTTAACATATGTTAGTCTGGAATATCTTTCCTTCAAAGTACTCCTGGTCAAAATTGTTTTACTCTGTATTGTTAGTGCCCAGTTTCTTGCTTACCCTCCATGTGCTTTCCTTTGCATTTCCTCCAAAAGAGAGGGGGAAGATGAAGTCATATTCTCAGTATGCCAGGAAGAAAACCAGTTGTTGCTGTCAACTGAGAACTTCTCTTACTCCTTTTGGTCCTGCAGTGTTTTACTGTGTATTCCAAAATACTGTAAATTGTCTAAGGCACATCAGCATTTGAAATCCTATTCTAGAGGAGAAATAACTATGATCAGTTTAAACCTAAACATTTTAAAAGTATTTGGAGCTCACAGAGCCCTTAAGAATGAGCAGTATAACACTTTGCAATATTTTTTTTTTGCCAGGGTAGTGTCACAGACTTAGAAAGGTAGTTCCTATGTAATTTTTAATCAGGAGAATAAACTTGAAGGCATTAAATACATTTTAAAAGGGAGTGGAAAATGCTTTCTGCTAAAGCAGTGTCTTGGCTCTAGGATATGGGAAGTGTTCTCAAGTGTAATTTGTTTGAACTATCCACGTTTTTGAGAAACGAGAAGACAGTGGTAGTTTTGCTTGCCCCTTTTTTTTTTTCCTTTTTCCTCTTGGCATACTTATTTATTTTTCTGAAACAATCTGGGATGTGAAAGTGTTCATCATAACAGAATATAAAACCTATTCAATTGCTGCTAGATTAGTAAAGACATGAGATTGTGTGGTATACTTGATAGGAGAAATTGGTGCATGTTTTTCTTTTCTTTTTTTTTTTTTTTTTTTTTGTACCAGCCACTTTTGGAGGCAAAAGAATTATTAGACCTTTCAAAAACTTGCTCCTCACAATTGTCATGGTGAAAAACACTAATCGTGAGCCATTCTTGATCTGTTGTTAAATAAATTATATGGAATTCCAGTTTGCTTTTACCTGGGAAGGTTCCCAACCAGCAGGTATGAAGTTTGTTAAAGGTGCTTCTAAGCTTTCTGCTTAGAAAACATTAGTGAATGTATATTGCTTGCACATAGCCTATGATAGTTCTTTGTTATTTTAAATGGATTAATTTTGCTCACAGTGCAGATGATATGCTACTTGATGTTAATCAGCAGCATTTTCTTGATGGTCTTGGTGACAAGAAGCTGAATAGATATGAACTCCTTACCTAACTTTGAGGTCGAGGAGGACTTTCATGTCAGGACTACTAAGCATTAATGCAGCGTTCTCTGATGCTCTGCTGAATCTGTTCTGTTTTGTGGCAGAAAGGTTACCTTTTCCTTCAATTTCAGAATTGTCCTCTTGGCATTTAATTCTGTGTGAGTTTTAGGAGTTTTGTTAAGCATTTTACAGTATAAAAACGTAGATCTGCCAGAAACAGTTTGACTGAAATCCATTCTGAAATATGCTATCTGATACGCTGTGTGTTTGACTTCTTATGTGGTCACCTGAGGCACTGAGATCTCTTCAACTGGAGAATGATCCATCGCAGTGCTTACTTCTTGAACTAGTTTCTTTGTTCATTGTCCATACTTGCTTGGCATTCCTGGAGGGATTGATACTGATAGGAATTTCCTTCAGCAACTTGAGCAAAGGTCTAAAGCAACAAAAACATAAATACAAGGTGAAAATTTTAGCACTCAGAATGGACAGATATCTGTTCAAACTGCAGCTGATATGCCTTCTTCCACTTTGCTCCCAGCTGCAGAGACGTTTCCTGCCTATTTGCACAAGACTTCCTTTTGTATATTCTAGCTGTGTGTGGATATTAGGGGGAGATAAAACACACAGTCTCGAATGCATTGGTGTATTTTATGAAAATTTTTCTACTTGGCTTTTTCCATTTCCTATTTCTAATCACTTTGTTCTATTCTTACAGTATATTGACTGAGAAAAATAGAAATTGGAAGGTTCTGGTGCAGAACTGTACTCATCTGTTTTCATAGCATAACTATAAATTGTCTATCACTTCTGATAATATTTTTACACAAAACATCCTAAAAGAGGAAAGAATTAGAATTAAGAAATGGTATGTGGATTCTTTTCTCATATCCTTAGATTCTGCGACCTTGAGTGAATTACTTCCAACTACTGCATCGCTGAAAGGAAAATATTTGTATTTTCTGTTAAGAGTGTTGTGAAGTTTAATCTTTAAAGTGCTTTGAGATTTTTGGATACTAGATTGGGGGAAAAACAATGTATGCAGAATCTTGAGGATAATTTCCAATTGTTTATGAGGAAAACGAGTAGTAGTGGTAGTCTAACTCTCTAGAGCATGTATAACCTCCTTATGAAATATTAAAATGAAAGTCTGCTACAAAACTCCAGTCACTAGAGACCTGCAGCGTTCATGGGCTATTTCTTTCCATTGGCATAATCAGAAAGCACAAGGTTTCCCAATTGTGTATTCCATTATATTTTATGGTATGAAACCTTCAGAACAAAATCAGATGAGAAAGATTTTGTTTTTGCTTTTATTTTTTTCCAAAACACACACCAGGTTTCTACTGTAATGATTTTTATTTTTTTTTTCTATTGTGCTTGAGGATAATTTAAGAAGAGCAAGGTTTTAGTATTTTAAGTGAATGATTTTGAACTCTTTCTGCCTTAGAGACCCACTGGCTCTTTTTTAGCAGTCTCTACATTAACAATTCTGTAGTGCCTTGCAAAGTGTCACCTTAGGGATGTGCAAGTATTTTGTCTGTTTTGCTGCTGAACAAAGGTATTGTTTTGAAGCATGGAGGGGGCAGCTTGTTTCCAAGGCTGAGAAAGTGGCAGTTGTACATCAGTCTAGGTATTTGCGTGTCAGAGAAATAATGAAGTTGCCTAAGTAACACGTTAAGTGTTGCAAATGGTGCTAGTTTGCCACTGCGCTGATATTGACAGAATTAATCAGACCGACAGCAATGACCTCAGGAAATCCTGAATGTGTGGAAACTGTGCTTGCCTGCTTGTTCAGCATTGTGGGGATGTAGTGGAGATAAACTGAAGTCTCACTGAAGCTCTTCCTAATGTGACAGACGACAGGCAGTTTTTACCACCACATTTAGCTCTATCATGTATAATCATTTGAGAGTACAGACTTTTGCTGGAGGAGGTTTTTCTGGATGGGCATAGATTTGTATAAGCCACCTGAGCTTCAGCTGAGGAAGGAATAAGAAAGAAAGGGAAATTTCATATTTATTTCTATTTCAGAATCACAGAATCAGCAAGGTTGGAAAGGACCTTCAAGATCATCCAATCCAACCAATCACCAATAGCTCTCACTAAACCATGTCCCCCAACACAAAATCCAAACATTTCTTGAACATCTCCAGGGTCAGTGACTCCACCAGCTCCCTGGGCAGCCCATTCCAGTGCCTGATCACTCTTTCAGAAAAGTTGTATTTCCTAACGTCCAGCCTAAATCTCCCCTGGTGCAGCTTGAAGCCATTCCCTCTAGTTCTGTCATGTTACACTAGAGAAGAGGCTGACCTCCAGCTCACTACAACTTCCCTTCAGGTAGTTATAGAGAGCAATAAGGTCTCATGTCATGCTGATGGGTGTACTGTGAATACTGGGTAGGCTGGGTATCTTTAGAAGACATTAGCCTTTAAATAAGGAAGTTTTCTAGTTTTGACACTGCATATAGATATCTAAAACAATGTGTACACCTGAAGTGTTTTAGAGTTGTAGGAAGGCACAGCAGAAATCTGTGGTGTTTTGCAGTTCAGATGCAGTCCATCATAATTGCCTCCCAAATGGATTACTGCTAGTAAAACCATATCCTTGCATTATGAACATGTAGACTTGAGTTTACAGCTAACAGAAATGTGAGCTGAAGATGTAATCAATAGCAGAATAGGACAGTGTCATCTTTTATTTGTGTTTCTAATTTGGTTTAGGCCAAAGATAATTAATAGCTAGTGAAAGTCATGATCACGTCTTGCATTATATCCTTCATAAAGACTCACGTTGTATAGCTCAAGTTCTACTTAAAAGGAATGTAGAAGCAATACAAGTTGTCAGCTTTTAGCTCAGTCTTCAGATTTTGGCTGGAGACACAACTCAGATTTTCCTTCTGGCTAATTTGGGGGAAAGTGACCTTTTGTTTACTTATGTAGAATGATGTAGTATATGTCAGCTATTTAATTTGGGCTTACTAAAATCTGTACAGATTGAGTAATTAAGATTCAGTAAATGAAAATGGGTGTTTTTAATGTCCTTTTTGGACCAACAAAATCGTTTGTCTAAAAGAATTGCTTTCAGGCCTCCTGTTACAAGCTCACACTATATTCTCCTGCTAATTTAGTACCAGCCGTTCTGTATAATACTGCAGTAGCAATGGATGCACTGTTGAACCTGTTTAGAATATATGCATTGTTTTTTGGAGCAGTACTTTACACATAGATTCTTACAGTGGGGACGATTAGGTTAGTATTGTTTTTAACGATAAGAACAGTTTCTCTGTAAGACAGTTACCAAAATATCCTGTTTGTTTAAAGCATTTTTGTATTCACAAAGTTGGTATTTTACTGTTCTGAAGTTACCTATGCTCTGTTGCTAAATTGTGGTGTTTAAAGTTCTACTTTGAATGCAAGCTACCTGTTAATCAAACTACCATAGAAGTTATACTTTAGTTTGTAAATATATCTTTTTTTTTTTCTTTTTTGCCTCAAGAGGTACCTCGTGGAGAAGAACTGGTTTAACCATGACACTGTGTTTCTAATATTAGATGATTTTCTCTTAGATTACAGATGTCTTATGATCCCAATGGATGATGCGTGTGGAGTTACTGGAAAGATTTTTTTTTTTAACTTAAAAGCTATTTTGACAAACACATGAGCTAAGGTAATTAATGTTGCTTAGAATAGTATATGAGACCAAGTTCAGACAGAGGAATGCAGAATCTATGCCACTGGAATTTTGGCTGCCAGAGATTAATAGCGTTCATTAGTTTAGGAGGATTTTTTTTTTTCTTCCCCATTTTCTATCTGATTGTGAAGTGTGATTCTTCTGGGGTGAAATCGGTTATCATTAACCTAAGACTTTTCTGATTGTGGAAAGGCCTTAATGTCCCTTAAAGATTATAGTAATAACATCACACTACCTTATGGGGTAGGAATTTGCTGTGAAAATATGAATTACCCAGATGGTTCTCTTCTTTGCACTGGTTTGAAAAGTAAGAATGAAAATGCTGTTTGCCTGTCTGTCTTTTGAAATAGAAGTTTGCTGCCTTCTTCGCAGATAAGCCAGAAGAGGTTTACCTGTGTGTAAGGTAGGCTGGAATATGAAGAGGATTCTTCGCTATGTAATGTGGTTTCTGCTCTCTGAATGAAGCAGTGGTGAGCAACGCTGCTCAGAACCAGAAGCAGGGGAAAAGGTGGGGGAGCAGCATTCATGAAATCCTGCTGAACTCTGCAACATGTTATCCTGTCTGAATCTTTATATATTGGTTTCATTATTTCAATATCGCTTTCTAATATTTATTTTAGGACAAGACCAGAGTTGTGTCTCCTATTATCGATGTAATTAATATGGACAACTTCCAGTACGTGGGGGCGTCAGCTGATTTAAAAGGCGGTATGTACCTCTGCTGGAATACAAATAAAATAAGAAGCATCACAAGTCAAAGCTCGTGGTCACTGCAGTTGTGGAATGGGCAGTTAACACACTGCTCTTCCCTTTTGCATATCTAGCTTAATTTCTATATATCGACTGTTTCCAGGCTTAGATTTTAAATGGCCTTGTTGCATTCTACTTTACAAGAGTTTGTCTTTATTATACCAATTCTTATAAGTTTATGCTGCTTTTTACCAATGTACAGGAGTCACTCGAATGTTTGCAGTGCTGTGTATTAGAAGCAGCTTATGGTTGGAAGAGCTTATGATTCCCTTTTTACAGACAACAGTTTATTTGCTCTCTAGTTCAGAAGTCCATCAGCAATGCGGTGCCTATGAGGTTTTTTTAAGATGCTGGTTTGCTTAAAAATTAATCTCTTGTGAAAAAGCAGAAACCTCTGGAATGTGTTTGTTTTTTAAAAAGGAAAGGTGGTTTTTTTTTTTTTTTTTTTTTTTTTTTTAAGCCCATGATCTGTAATTGTGAAGAAAGTAACACATAACCTTGAAATTGGTAGTGTTTATATCTTTACTGTTAGAAAATTTCCTGTTAAATTCTGTTTACAAAAGCTATGGTTTTGTTGTCTGGTTAATGCAAACTGTTAACAGCAAGTAGTAAAGAGCTTTGTGAAACTCTCAAAAATGATTCTCTCCCTTCTTTCCAAAAGAGGAAAGACAAGTTTGCAGTAAAATCCTTATTTGTTAAGTTTTTAAATTTAATTTCACTACTAGCAGGTGTCTAGCATTTAGAATAGTTGTCCCATAACTGATCCACAATAATTGTTCCCACAACCCTAGAAACTGTGCTGCCTGTAGAACAGATGTAAGATAAGCCACAATATTGAAATTATGTGGTACTGTTCCCACAGTTTTTCAGCTTATTTTGAATGGGCTCTCTCAAGTGAGGTAGTAGTTTTAAGCTCCTTCTGTATGTGAAATCCTAGTCCATAACTGGCCACCAAGTGTTTGTTCCAGTAAACTAAAGTAATATTTGCATAATGCTGCATGTGCTTCAAGTTCCAGTCATGATCTTGAGGTAAAAGTTTCTGTATCCTTTTAATTAGCGTTCTGAAAAGATGTCTGCCATGGATATATTCACAGTATGCTAATTTATAATACTATGCTATTATCTGTGTGCTAGCTTTATTAAAACCTTAAGGCTTTTGCCCAATCTATTCATTATGCAGCAACTATGGAAATCTCTATACCATTATGTAGCTCTTATTGTTGTCTGCAGTGGGAGGAGGAGTTTTCATTGAAACCTTAGATTGGTTCCTGTGGGGTTCATGCTCTTTAATTCTTTCCAACTGAACTGGGAGAGGATTGAGCGATCATTCTACTTGTTGCTGCTTTTCATTGCTTTGTCTATGAACTATATTTCCCATTTTTTTTTCTCCTTTTAGTGCTCGTTTTCTCTTATACACAATAGGTTCTTTAAAGTGCGTTGAGCCTCTGTACTTCTGGGCTGTGAAGTGAGAAGCTGCCTTTTAACAATAGAAATTTTTCACATAGCAATGTCTGAATGCTATTTGGTGGTATGTTCAAATGTGAATAATATATTTGCATTCAGATCCCAAAGGACAGATTAGCACGTTAGGGGCACTCCAGCATTTGGCATCACAGGACACTTTCATTGAGGCCAAGTCTAAACATGGAAATCAAACCGTGCTTTCAACCTTCGATATGGTGTCTGCGTGGCTTAAACATGGAGAGTTGAGACAGCTGGGACAGCATTTGTGCCTGCTCTGTTTTGCAAGACTTAATCACCCAAGACGAGCAATCTAGCAAATGCTACAGACTTAAAAGTGGACAGAATTGAAATAATTCCCATGGCTGGCCAATATTAAATCCGTGCACTTCATATTACTTTTTTTTTTTTTTTTCTTGGAAGGCAGAAGGCTTACAAAACTATTTACACCCTGAGTAGCATTTTAATTACTGGACTAAATTGTAGTTAACAGAGTTCTAATAACTTAGGATATGCCTATTATGAAGTTTACACGTGATAGAATTTCATACTGTATATGCACTTGTGTTTAAAAATATTCCTTTTACAAAGTTACTGATACTATCTCATTGGGTGATTTTTCCCAGCCTCTGTGAAAATGGAGACAGAAGAACAGTTTTTTATGAGTAGACAATTTATACACTTGTTTTGAGTTTGCAATGCAGTGCTGTGTTCCAAAAGAGACCCCTTGTGTTCACTATGGTGTACGTAACTCTATCTCTACCACTTGTGCTGGGGAACAGTAGAGTTTTTCAGTTCTTCCCAGATGCAAGTAATTTTGCTGGGGATGTATGATGAAATGAATTTTTTTTTTTTAACTGCCGGGAAATATTGGAGTTAGTTTTAATTCTCATCGTGGAGGCTTTGCACTGCTATCAGTTGTAGCCATTTTAATGCTTTGAAACTTGGAGTTTTAGGAGTATTTAGATGATCTTTCATTTTTTACAGTGTAACACTGTACAGTTTTACACCTTAAATCTGTAGAGTTGCCGTGCATGTTGCAAAAAGTGTTCAGGGTAGCTTCTGTGAGATAGACATATCTTGGGAGTTGAAAACTAAGCAATTTTCATTTTAGTTCTCCACATCAATCCGTACCATGCACATTTACAGATCCAGACAAACAGTCTGTTGCCTGTTTAGCTTAAATTTTTTTCCTACTTTCCCCAGAAAATAATTGCTTTATCTTCATACTGAAGAAAGAAAACTATTGACATCTGCGCAACAGAAATCTGGAAATCATTTATTACATGACCTCATAGGATCTAAATGCTTTTGGCAGTCCACAGTCTTTGTAAGGCTGGTTTGCTAGGCGCACTGGGAGATCACTGTACAGCTCATGGAGCTTTTTCCATAGAGGTTCATACCTAAAGACGTAACATAGCTCAAAACCAGTTAGTGTTTCCGTAGGAAGTTTATCTTGCACCTGCTGTGTTGGCTTTTTTTTGTATTGGTGGCTAAAGGAAGGCTGTTCAAAATGTCAGGTAGAAAGCTGCTGTGACTCTTCGGCCTTCCCTTTTCTGGTGATCTTTGTGCTTCTGTACTTAGCTCACAAAAGAACCAATCTCTTGTGTGCATGCAGTCACACATATATACGTGTGCAGAAGATGATTAAGCTTTTTGTCTCTATAGCACAGATCTGAATTTCAAAAATGATGCATGTAGAAGCATGCAGTAGGAAAGGATGCAGTTGTATGGATGTTAATGAGAAGTGAGAGCTACATAACCTGCTGTAACCTTTGTGATAGAGAACCAATGCTGATAGAGAAGAGCAGCGAGTGCTGTATAAAGTTTCTGTAAGCCTAAGCATGATCATAACAGCTGAGATGCAACAGTACAATAAGAACTGTTAAGGGCAATTGTAAAGGGATGAAGATCTTCGCATGATGTTCAGTGTGACTTACACATGTTCATGTATTACACATTATTTCATGTATTTGTGACTTATGCTTTCTCATCTACTACTGGGTTTCTTACCTTGTGTAATAAATGTCAACAAGAAAAATCAATATTATTTAGATTACTTTTTTATTCTCCAGTTCAACTTCTTTTCTTTCGAGCTCCTCCTCGTTTGTTTTCTACCAAGAAGATTGTGTAAGTGTAAATTTCCTTCCCAGTGATTTTGTTTGATATTACATTACTACAACATGAATAATGACCACAGTCTTAACATCCTACTCTGTTTTCTTCTTAAAGGCTTTGACTGGAACCTGGTATTCAAATGGGATTACATGACACCAGAGCAAAGAAGAGCACGGCAAGGAAACCCAGTTGCTCCCATAAAGTATGTCTATATCACTGATTCTCCATTTGATAGATAATGCTTTTTTTTAATTAAAAAAATGTATTGATTCATCTTCATGGGAATCTGTTCCCATCAGAGATCTTCAGTACAAATAGATTAGCATTGGTTGGTTTATCTGATTTAAATGCATAATAAAACAGGCAGAGTGTAATATTGCTGTAGGACATGATGAGAGCATAGCTTGAAGCAAAGTTTACCACGAATACTGTTCTGTTTTTTAACTCAGGAGTATGAGACTTACTTTTGTGCATGTCACCATCTCAGAAACGAAAAGTGATATTACCAGTTGGGAAAATTCAATTCAAATGGAGACAATTAGTGCAGACAGTCCCCGTTTTTCAAGATTAGAGTTTATAATAAGCAAAGTAGTACAGAATTTGCATCCTTTCTGTTTTTGCTTAAGGGAATTTCATTTAGGTTTTTTTTTCCTATCTGTAGCATTTTATATTTTACTGTAAATGACATGCATTGAAGTGTAGCAACTGTATATTTACAGTTAGACTTGACATATTTAAAACAGAAATGGATCCAGACCAAGTAGCTTGTGACTAAACAGAGCTAAAACTTGTTTTATCAGTCTAGAAATGAACCTTAGCTAGCTTTCAAGAATATGGTAACTTCATTCATGTTTGTGCATCCTTGTGATGCTCTCACAAATAGTGTTTAAAAAAAGCATACAAAAAAAAAAAAGCAAAAAAAACCCCACCCAACAGTTCCCCTGTAGATTATTTAACCTTAAAAAAAAAAAAAAAAAAAGTCATGTTTATTTTAAAATTTGATGTTTTATATGTTTTGACAGCTAAAAATACAGCAACAAAACTTTAATGTTTTACTGCTGGCACAAGTTCCCAGTTTTTAAGTAAGGGACTTGGGAACCAAGTGGAGTTTTGGAAATTCAGCTTCTGAGGCAGTGGTAGTTATAATGCTGTATATGCCATAGAAATGTTGCATGATGTTGTGCAGACAAGCTTTGACATGATGGATGTAAACTTAGTCGCCTTCAAAAACATTGCAGCTTTTTTCAAGGAGATATTAACCTTGAGATGCAAATCAATTACCTCCCAGTTCATGGTTCTGTAAGTATTTAATTTAATTTTTCTTGTCTGTTTAGGACACCCATGATAGCTGGTGGGTTATTTGTGATGGACAAATCCTATTTTGAAGAACTGGGGAAGTATGACATGATGATGGATGTTTGGGGTGGAGAAAACTTAGGTAAGTGCATAATGTACTTTCAGATCAGTTTTCACAGAAAAGCAAGTTTCAGCTTTGCTTTTACTGTCATGGTTTCATGATCTTCATGGTTTCATGCAAAGAAGATTAAAAAGCAATCAAAACTGTAGGTGCATTATTGGGAAAATCCAGAAGGTTTCAGTGTAAGAATTAAAACATGGTAGCAATTTTATACTATGTATGAGAAAGCAGAACTATTTGCTTACTGTGCAGTTAAATAAGTTGGCAGGTAAAATGAAATGAACTAAGGATGCAGATAGGAAGTTCTTTTCAAAAATGATACCTTGTTTGAAAGCCATATCCCCCTATAATGTTATTGATTAAAATACGGTGTTTAAATGCTGACAATTTAAGGCAAGTTTTAAAATGCTGGTGAAATTTAATGACAAAAATCAGAGCACGAGAGTTCATGAGTTTAATGTTCTTACACACACTTTAAGCAATTGATCAAAACAGCTGACCAAAAAATGATCTTTTTATCATTGATCTTTTAAACTTAGGTTTTTTATTTTATACCCCTATTTTAGCTCAACAAGATAATTATGCTTGGGAAGGCATTTTTATTGGAATTCCTTATTTTCAGATGTTTGAGTGGGATTTGAGGAGGAAGGAGGGAGGACCAAGAACTTGCACTTTAGCCATTATTTTCACCTTGTGGTTAGATTTGGCATTTGGCTCTCTGCTTTACAGTATTATCGCTCAGCTAAGACAAGTGCATTTATAGTTAAAGAAATATTTGAGTGGAGCAGAACTCTAATTGCTTATGAGTTACAGGTATCATTAATTTAGTTTTTCAAGGTAGGGGTCATCTCAGACATTCTAAATAGTGTGTTTAGGACCAATTCTGAGGATTAAAATGCCTCTACTGCTGTTCTAGCTGTGAAACTGAAATACCTTGAACTTGTAAAAGCTCATGAGTGTTTTCAGCTACTGAAATACCTGCATGAGGCGTATGTGACCTACAAGAAAATGTCTGTTTTATCCAGTACACCTCTAAATACTGAGACAGTGTAACCACTTGCTTAACACTCACATAAGGAACTGGAATAAGCTGGAACTTACATACGCTGGAAAAAACATCCTTACCATCTCCTCTGACTTTTCTGTACAGTGCTCGCTCTTATGTATTATGAACAATTACTTTCTCTGTTAGATTTTATTCTCCTCACTATTTGGCTGCATGTGGCTAAACTGTATTAATTTGAACATCATCGTTGTTTTTCATTTTTTAAAATGTTCTGGAAAGTCATTGAATAAACTTACTACAGCAGTGCTTTTATCCTCTGAGAACCTCTTCTAACACTGGAGCACTTAAATATCTGATTAGCTGTAAGCATGCATTTGAGTCACTCAGATTTTTTTTTTCTGAAAACTTAGCAACTGCTCGTATGCTTTGATAATTGAGGATTTTGTAGTAATAAAGGGCTCAAGCAACAGCTCATTTCTCAAGGTGAAAAGTTGGCATGCAAAAATCTTTGTTTCTTTTGCTTTCAGTTTTCTCTTCTCCGCAGTAGGAAGGAGGGGAGATGGAGCCTTTGGGGTGCATCTTCTCTGCTCCCTGAAAATGCAAGGCCTGTCAGAGCAGACAGCTAATTATTTGTTCATAGCTGCCAGGTTAACTGAAAATGAATAAAAATTGCATGGCCTTTGATTTAATTACCAATAGATGACATGCACCAGATAGTGGAAATCTGTCATGTGCAGTTCAATATGCATATTTGTACAGCCTCTTTATTCTCAGGCGTACCTCTCAGTCAGTTGATGTTACGTGCAAATAATCTGCTAGATGGAGTCGTAAAATACTTCTAAACGTATTTATACTTCATTTAAATTTGCATTTTCTTGCAAATGTGTACAGGATAGATGTGAGATTTTCTTCACAGTAGTATAGGTTCAACTATACTCATATAATAGGTGTATGAGCTTACAGTATTTTGCCTAGTCTAAATCCTATATTAGCTAAAATGACTGTTCTTGCTGTGAAGATATGGTGTATTTTCACACTGTTGCCAGATATGACTGATAACACATTTGCTGTATAAAACATGGATCAAGGTTTGTCCAATCTTCTCGAATTCATAGACTCTAATCCTGAGAGCTTTTGCAGTGCTTTTTTGATAAGCATAGGGAGATCAAGTATACTAAAGAAATGGATAGATCATTAAAAGGTTTGGATTAAATTTGAAAACCTAGCTTTTTCTTTCTAGTTTTGCTGAAATCAGAAAGCAAGTAAGACTTCACCTTCTAAATTGGTAATATGCTGCAAGAGCAGTATTGAAGGTAATCTTATCACAGAATCACAGAATGGCCAGGGTTGGAAGGGACCTCAAGGATCACAAATCTCCAACCCCCCTGCCACATGCAGGGCCACCAACCTCCACGTTTAATGCTAAACCAGGCTGCCCAGGGCCGCATCCAGTCTGGCCTTGAACACCTCCAAGGACGGGGCATCCACAACCTCTCTGGGCAGCCTGTTCCAGCTCCTCACCACTCTCTCTATAAAGAATTTCCTCCTGACATGCAACCTAAATCTCCCCTCCCTCAACTTAAAACCATTTCCCCTCATCCTACACTTATCAACCCTTTCAAAGAGTTGATTCCTCTCCCCTCTGTAGGCGCCCTTTAAGTATTGAAAGGCTGCACTGAGGTCACCCCGCAGCCTTCTTTTCTCCAGGCTGAACAAGCCCAGCTTCCTCAGCTTGTCCTCATAGGGGAGGTGCTCCAAAGGAAGTGCATGATGTACTATTTGCGCCTTTAAAAAAAAAAACATTGTGTCTTCTGAAACTGTTAAAATAGTAGAATTCATTTTCCCAATGAGTATGATGAAAAATAGCATCCTAAGAACACAACAAGAAAAGCCTAACACCTTACATTTTAATTGCTTTATGTTCCTTTTAACTTAAAATTCATGCAGACTTTAGAAGCCACGGTGATGTAAGTATTAGTCTACCCCTCCCAATTTGCAGGCCCTTTTGCTGTACTTCCCACAGCTATTTTTCATCTTTTTTATATTCTTCAGAGCCTAAGGTGTCTGAAAGTATATATGTAGGTGTACAGGCCTGGGCATTTGTGTAGGGAGAACTAATCAAATAACAAAGCATTAACTTAATGTACAGAGTAGAGGAAGCCATGAATAATAGAAGAAGTTGGTATGCAAGATATTTCTAAATTACTTCTGGAATAGTTTTTCAGCACTTATGTACATTCAGTAGATCATGGAATAGCAGAATGTTTGAGTTTGACAGGGGCTTCTGGAGGTGATCTGGTCCAACCCACACTGTTCAAGCACTGTTGCAGGGAATCATGTCCAATCAATGTTTGAAGAAATTCAAGGAGGGATATTTCTCGTAGACCTCTCTGGGCAACCTATTCCAGTGCTCAGTCACCTGTATGGTGAAGAAATTCTTCCTGAAGTTTAGCTGGAATCTCTTGTGTTCCAGTTCATGCCTGTTGCTTCCTGTCTTGGCACACAGTGCCTCTGAAAAGAGCATGGCTGTATTCTCTTTGCAGGCTCCGTTCAGATATTTATAGACAATGATAAGAACCCACGTGAGCTTTCTTTTCTCCTAACTGAATGGTGCCAGCTCTTGCAGGCTTTCCTCATAAGAGAGATGCTTCAGTCCCTTCATCCCTACATTAGATTTTTGCAGGTTCATCTATGTCTCTCTTCTACTGGCTGGCCCAGAACTCTTCACAATATTCCAGATGCAGTATAACCAGTCTTGAATATAGAACTGGTGGTGATAGTTTGCCTAAGGAAGCCCAAAATACCAATTAGCCTTGCTAGAAACAAGGGCATGCCCCTGCCTTGTATTTACCTTGATACCTGAACCCCATGTCCTTTTCTGCAGAGCTGCTTTCCATCTGAGTGGCTCCCAGGACATACTGGTACTCGGGGTTGCTCCTGCCCAGGCACAGGACTCTGCACTTGTTCTGCTTCAACTTCGTGAGATTCTTGTCAGCATACCTTTCCAGCCTGTCAAGGTCCCTCTGAATCAGACACTCATTCCAGTTTCATGTCATCTGCACATTTGAGGATGCATTCTACCCCATCATCCAGATCATTAATGAACATAGTATTGATGTTTTGGATGAAGCATTCAAAATTCATCATTTTAATAAAAGCACTACAGAAAAGCACTTTTTTTGCTAGCTTAATAGAAACACTGAACAGTCATTTATTGTAATTCCCAATTTTTGCTTTTCTTAGCACAAAATAAGAGATAAGAATAAAGTCAGTGCTGTGAAAAATGTGTGGTGAGAATGCCATGTTCAGTTGCTTCTTAAAGTCATTTGCCTATCCTCCCATGTTAATTTAACTATAAAATCAAGGCTGTAAGTTACTGCCAGAGATAATGTTTTTGTCATTAATATTTTTTGGAAGACTGACTGTCTGCAGATTGGACTGTGTTGATTATCTAGTCTTCATGAATATGACTAACTGGCCTTGATTGAACAGAAATTTTTTTCTGAGGTAAAATTAGAAAGAATTCTTGTAAAAAGCAAAGATTCAGAAGAAAAGCAGTTAACTTACATTGCCTTAGTTTGAAATGACAACACTTATTTTTCCCCTGGTCAGACCAGTCAGAAGGGAGCTACAGGAAAGAAGGGTCCGTGGTGACAGAACAAGAGGAAATGGTTTCAAGCTTAAGGAGGGCAAATTTCGGTTGGGTATACAGAAAAAGTCTTTTACAGTGAGGCACTGGAACAGGTTGCCTAGAGATGTGGTGGATGCCCTGTCCCTGGAGACTTTCAAGACAAGGCTGGATCAGGCCTTAGGCAATCTGATCTAGCTGTGCATGTCCCTGTTCATTGCAGGGGAGTTGGACTGGATGGCCTTTAGAAGTCCCTTCCAACTCTAAGGAGTCTATAATTGAGAGGACATTGCTAACCTTCAGGTTTTCCTACTTTTGGTTTTGAAATGATGAAGTTTATTTGAAATAAAACTTTTGATTTATATGTGTGAAAGGAGGGCTTCTGGACGAAGAATAGCACTTAGTTTTAGAAGAGGAATGTGACTTGCTTACTATTTGTGTTGCTTTTTTTTTAAATCTGTGGAAAGATACTGAATGATGATGAATAGACTAAGGGTAGGAGATGGTAACCTGCTGCAGCTACTAGACTAAAAGGGGGAAAAATATCACAGTTGAAACACTGCTATTGCAAGCGCCCTTATGCTTGCTTCAAATGAATGAAGACAAGTTCTCTGTCAGTACTAGGTGATTTCTGCTGTTAGAGGTCTAAGATGAGAAATATGCAATATATTTCTAGACCTTGTCTTTACTACCATAGTTAGTTTGCTTGCTTGATTTACAAAAGTAGTGACCATAGCTTTTGGTTTATATAAGTTGCTACTCTATCTTCAAATCAAGATTGGCTTGGCATAACTCCTTTTACTGCCAGTACTTTGAGCCAGCAGCAAGAATCTGTTGTTTTATTGTGCATTGAATTTGCTTGACATTCTATTTAATCTTTAGCTGATTTTTAAAATTATAGATTAGATAATTAATTTATGCTAAATGAATCTACTGTTATTTACCATTTAGATAAAGCACAGCAATAGAACACATAAACCTAACTTATTCTGGCAAATTTCAGCATCATTTCTGCGTTTGGAGAATACTGCTCAGAGGAGAGAAGGCATGCAGTTTTGCTTCCAAGTTAATACAGTTATTTCTTCTGAGTTTGGATAGTAATAAACAAGAATATGCCTTGGTTTTATCCTAGATTTTCTCAGAAATCCATCTTATTGATCTTCTCAGCAATTACTGGTTTCTTTGCTTAAAAACAACCGTAGGAAATTACAGTATTTTGTGGTGTATTTTGTGATGTTGGTCTTTTATGTTTTCGTTGCAGAGATCTCGTTCCGAGTTTGGCAATGTGGTGGGAGCCTAGAAATCATCCCTTGCAGCAGAGTGGGTCACGTATTCCGCAAGCAACATCCGTACACATTTCCTGGTGGGAGTGGTACTGTATTTGCAAGGTAACTCTTAAGATGATCTTCAGCTAAATAGTGATGTTTTGAATTTCTTCAAATGATCAGCAGGTGGCAGTAATTTAATTTTAGGGACCTTTTCATTAGAAGAAGCTGATGACTGAGGAGAATATGCTTGAGGCAAAATATCTCCATTAGAGATTAATCTAGAAAAAAAGGAAATAGCCAATTTTGAGAAATTTGTTTATTTGGTTTTGAAGAAACCTTTATTTTCAAAACAGTCCCATACATCTTCATTTTTTAGGAACGATACTGTCGTTCTCTATGACCCAGAATACAGTAGGTTAGGAATTTGCTTTGTTTGCTGTTTGTTATTACAGAATGAGTATGAGATGTACAAGTGATCGTGTAGGCTAATTCTGGCATTTATACCAGGCTGTTGGATGCTTAATTCTTCATTGAATCTTCTTTTCTCATCACGTGATTAAGATGCTTTTTGTGTAAACTTAAGAAATTACATTAGTAAGAGCATAGATTAGCATGTGTGTTAATTTTACTGTTGATTTAATGTATGCGGTTGCTGGAATGTAGAGATGTTTCATCTTTTTTTTTCCTGTAGAATGAGAATAGCAAGTCCTGATTCATGTTCATAGTGTTCTAAGTTATATGGGTTAAGGCACTGAGTGGTGTATGACAGGGATTTTGACTAAGGCTCTGTCAGTTCCAGCTTTTAAAGCGTTTTGGCTCAGAGAACTTAATGCTCTCCAAGGTCTGAAGAAGCAAAGTTGGAGCTAAAAGTTCTAAGAGTTAAGAGCTTCAAATTTAAATAATTTCATTTATTTATCTTTGAAGAATATGGAGCCACAGCACAGAGTGCAAATGTGTTCAAGTCCGGAAGAATGTTCCAAGCTGCCAATATATTTGGAATAGTGTTTCACCTGAGCTTGAGGAACCATCTTAGAGGTGTAAATTTTCTTCTGCATAGGTTATGCCAGCAACACCACACTAATCAATTTAGTAGTCTGCTAAAATAAAGTCACTGCCTTTGTTTCTTCCAGTAGTCACAGGAGGGATTTTCTTGGTACCCTATTATTTGAGGTCTATATGCTACAGTAAAAATAACTTTGTGGGTATTTGTGGTATTTGTGGGTAAACAAAAACTAATAAGAAGTATCCTCTCTCTTCAGACATTACATCTCTGTACTGATATAGAATCCTAGAATATCCCAAGCTGGCAGGGACCCACAAGGATCATTGAGGTCCAACTTTCAGTTCCACATAACACCACCCAAAACTCAAACCATATTTCTGAGCGTCATCCAAATGTTTCTTGAACTCCAGCAGGCTTGGGACTATGACCACAGCCCTGGGGAGTCTGCTGTAGGGATCAGCCATCCTCTGGTAAAGAACCTTTTCCTAACACCCAACCTGAACTTCTCCTATTTATGTATGTCAGTAGGGTAGAAGGATCTAACAATTGAACTATTACAAAGGCCTAGGAAGGAACTGTTTTATCATAGAAACATATATAGTAGGTTATAAAATTATGATTTCATAACAAGGATCGTGCTCAATAAATAAACCAAACTGTGCAGTTTTCCTAATTCTCTGGATCTTTTCTATTGTTAGTCTATTGTTAGTTGACTAATGTCTGTTGCACACTTGTGCTATTAGATAGGTGCTTACACATAACTCATCTGAAAAGCAAGAAAGGGGCTGGCTTTGCATATGCAAGATCAGAGCATGCATCATAAATGTGTCATTTACAGTGGTTGAAGATTCTGCATTTATATTGGGATGACAACTTTTGGATTTTGTTGATTTAATCACCCACGTTTCCTGACAGCTATCATGACAGATTATTTTTGATGCATTTTGTTTTTCTGTTAGTTGTGTTCAAAATGACTTTTTAAAAAAAATACTACCTGGACTTGAATTATGAGGACAAGTAAAGCCTGTGATCTTTAATCTTGGGCACTTGCATTCCTGTCCAGGTCTGTCTTTCTCTGCAAGTGGTTTATTGCCATTATGCTTGACTGTCCAGCTGTCTCAAATTCTGAAATGCCATTAAAGTTCTTTGTTTCATTGGAATTATTTTTGAATTGACCTAGAAAACTTATATATCACTTTACAGCAACTTGTCAACCTTGCTTTTTAGTTGAAGGTTGTTTCTTTCTCAGTCAGCTGCCTTGTGTGTCAAACTAATATAACAAAATTCCCTTTAAAAAAAAAAAAAAAGTATTTTTAGCAATGAGAGAATGTGAAACCTAAGGTAATGGAATACCCTCATGGTGCAGACATTATCGAATGTGTGGAGCCATGGTGCCAAAAAAAACTTGGTGCATGGAATCACTGCTTGTGCAGTTGGGACTCATTAGCTTATGCAATCATCTGTCCCTTGATTGTATGTAATTTGTTCTGGAGTGCTCTGGGTAAGCTTCCTATTTTTAGCTGACTAGCCAGTATGCACTGCCTTTGGGCAGCCAAAACAAATTGATCCTGGATGAGAGGCTGGGAGTCGTGTGGTACAAGAGGAGAAAAGGGATGACATCGTGGCTGTTGTGCGGGGGCAGATGCTGCTTGCTTCTAGCAGAATGTATTAGATCAGGTTTGCTTTTGCACATATATATGCTTTACTGCTTGAGGGCCAGCTGCTTTAATACACAACTTCATCTGAGTTAATAAACCTTACAGACCCTAGTCTGGTATGTGCAAAACTATCTCTGATGGCATGATGCTAAGTTTCATTATCTGTGGTTTAATCTAGGTGCTGAGTGTTCCCTACACTGTGTTTCTCAATACTCTGACTGCTTTGGAGTCATACAAATTTGAGCAGTTCTCAGCATCTATATGGTTTCTATATCCATATTGCACTGTGTCTGGATTCTTAATTTTTGGTTGTGTAAAAGTGTGGTACAGAGATGCATTCTGGCCTTGGAATTACCTTTTGAGTTGTTAAACTCTGGCAAACCAATTAGTACCTCTCCCACCACCAAAATCCATTTGGCCTGTGAATAGATAGCCAACCTGATTGCTGAGTGACAGTCATTAAAACCTGACAGACTACAAGTAAATTTGAACTGAAACAGTCTAATCTGGATTGAATGGGTTTTTGCTTACACACACACACAAGGAAAAAAAAAAAAAAAAAAAAGGAATCTTTGCAGGAAAATATTGGTCTTCAAACAACAAATGATCAAAGTCTGCCTTGTGTTGTTTTCTGTTGCTGTTGTTGTTTGTTTTTGTTTTTGTTTTTTCTCTCTTTCCCCTTTCCCCACCTCCTCCACTCTTAGCAATTTGCAAGAACTGAAATTGTCCTGGCTACTTCTGCCTTCTAATTTGGAAAGAATCATACCAATAAGTTGTTGGCTGACTGCATTTACTCTGGCTGCTTAAGATTGAACTTACTGCCAAATGTAAAAAAAGCTTCAGAGCATGACAGTTGCAAGGGAAGTAATTCAATGAAACTACAAACAATAGAAGTAGATGAGTTTTACATGGAAGCCAGGAGATGGGGAAAAAAACACCTTACAATCTCACAGTCCAAAAGGAGCTGTAAACACACCATTACAAAAATATAGACATTTTAGTTAGCCATTTGATTAGAGGTAAATAATCCAGGTTAGCTTTTTTTCCTTTACATTTACAGCAGTAATTAAGCTCTGAATTTTCAAGAATTAAAAAAATTTTGCTAAGTACTGCCTCCTCTGTTTTAGTAGACTTGTTTATTTCATAGCTTTGTCGGAACAGCTTATGTCTTGAAATGTTGAATGCTATGCTGGTAATAGTAAGATGAAGAATGAAAATGTGTTGCAGAAGTTAGCGTATCTGTTTTCAGCAAGGCAATATACACTGTTAAATATTTCAAATTGTTGAAATTTTGTGTTTCCAATTAGCTTGCTTGTTCAGGTGAAGATTCACTGAATTTGGTCTATCAAATTGTATTAAAACAAACAAAACCAACAACATTCCCTGAAGATTACAGAAAGAATTTCAGGGCGTATTAAATTCCAGATGAAAATGTGAAGCAGCAAATTGTGGAAAAGGCATTTTTTCTAAATGTACTGATTTCAGTTGTGATTTTCTAATGATTTTCTGTTACTTGGGACTTTAATAGGAAATCTTCTGCCTGGCTTGAGGCAGCTGGTGATGTAGTAATAAGAAGGATTAAAATCAAATCAAGAATAAATGACATGGTTTAATTGCAGTTGGGGGAAAATATAACCTTTTTTTCATATGATTGTCCCTAGAAATACACGCAGGGCAGCGGAAGTCTGGATGGATGAGTACAAGAATTTCTATTACGCAGCAGTGCCTTCAGCCAGGAATGTACCTTATGGAAAGTAAGCCACAATTACTTCTTTTTCCTCCTTCAAAAAACAGTGGTTTCTGAGGTATAAGTAGTGATGGCACTTATGTCCTTAAGATGTAGATCTACTGAGAAATTTGGGTTTTGTATACAGTCATTAATTCATACAAACACAGCATCCAGACCTTGAAAATCATTCTTCTTTTTCCCTTTCTAGTATTCAAAGCCGAATGGAACTCAGAAAAAGACTTAGCTGCAAACCCTTCAAGTGGTATCTTGAAAATGTTTATCCTGAGTTACGGTGAGTGTCATCTGACTCTGGGATGGTGTGGGGTTTTGACTTGTCTTCTCCTGAAATCACTGGTTTCTCTTTCCCCTTTCTTGGAAGTAAAATGTAATTGTGGCCTTATTTGCTTTCAGTATTGTTTGTTCTATTCCTAAAAATCCATTTTATCGAAGTAATCTTCTTTTCCACTTACATAGAATTGCAGCTGTAGCTGCAGTATTTCAGAGAACAACATCCAAAGCCCTAAACTCCTCTGTAGCCTGTCTCCTACATGGGCTTTTTGCTTGACGGTACATTGTTCTCTCTCCTGTTGTCTTCCCTTTTAAAGTTTTGCCTTCACTGAAGCACATGATTAGCTGAGTGAGAAAGCTGAATCTCAGTACAGCAGAAATAACAGAAGCTATCAGATAAGAAAGTCATGCAAGTTTTTTAAGCATTGGTAAATGCACTGCTCTAAGAAGCTAAATCACATGTTTTATTATCTCTTGCTCTGTCAGTGGCCAATAGCTAACCTTTATGCATGTGTAGAGGAAAAAGCAAACTGAAATTATGGGTAACATAACTAATACTTTTTGCAGAACGAATCAGTGCTTACAGCATTAATACATGGTACAAAAGAATAATTTCTGCTGTAGAATGCATACTAACCAATGAAAAATCCTCAAAAAAAAATTTTTAGCACTTCTTGAATGAAAAGATTTTTGTTCAGTAATGTGTCTACTGATAAGTATGTCTACTGGGTCACAAAATCACAGTGTCTTGAGTTAGAAGGGACACTAAACATTATCCAGTTCCAACGCTGCTGCTTTGGTATTAGACTCTGTAAACTACTGTGTCTTCTTTCAACATACTGTTGGTTGCACAGGATACTGTATGTGTGGTTCGTAGGAATACTTATTGCTGAGGACACTTTGTGTCAGTGAAGTTGGATTGTTAGTACTAGAATACAGGCTTGGAATGCATGAGCATAAACTGTTACAGCCTTCGTGTATTTTACAAAGCCACACGTGTTAAAGAGTCTCATGAACCAGGATAATGCTGAGGAGGAAAGTTATTCTGTATTTCTCTTACAGTGCCAGAGGATATTTATTTGTGTTTAATTTGTCAGAAGAAATATGGCTTGCAATTTTTCTTGGAAAATGTGCTACAATAAGCATTACTGGTGTGTAATGTTATCTTATTCTGTGTCACCTCCCTTTGCTCACTTTGCTGAGTTGAATTATTGTATTCTTATCATAGTCTGAAGTTTTTAAAGGAGTTGGTATGTCCTTGCTTTTCTGTTTAATATGAACTTATGGTCTCTATGCCCCACAAGGGTTCTCTGAATGTGTTTGCCTATGTACTTCCAGACTATGTGAATTCTACTTTATATGCGACTGCTTAAAAATAAGTATGAGTAAAACACTTTTTTTTTTCTTTTTTTTTTTTTCCCTTCAACCCCAACTTGTAACACTTCAGTAAAGATCAATTTGGGACAAAAGTAGAATGTTTCTGATGGCTTGTCTGGAAATAAGTGTGGTGAATCTGAACTGATAGCATGAAGATATGAGCGACGTTAAATGATAATGATGTCACCTTTAATTTGGTCATTATGAGTAGTTTGTATGTTCATCCTTGTTTTCTATTTTTGTCCTGTGCTTGCAGGTTTGAGTTTGATCAGAAATTTGGCTTCTGTCTTCAAAAGATGTTTGGAATTTCCAAATAGTAGCCATCACTCATCTTAAACCTCTCATCTTCAAAATACTTGATGAGGAGGTAAAAGAAATATCAAAGATAGACTAATTGAGGGAGATATTTCTGGTTTTATTTTAGGGTACCTGATCATCAAGATATAGCTTTTGGGGCTTTGCAGCAGGGTACCAATTGCCTTGATACTTTGGGCCATTTTGCAGATGGTGTTGTTGGAGTTTACGAATGTCATAATGCCGGAGGAAACCAGGTCTGTATGCTATTCATTTTTTTCCAAAATATGTGGTCTTAGGATTTAAAAATAAATTGAAACTAACTCAACCATGTGCTGTGTGTCAGTGATAGGTATACGAACTGAAATGAACAAATCAGTTATTTAGGCAGTCTGTTGTAAAAAGTTCTCCCTCAAATGTAGTTTTGCACTTTCAGGGTTAGAATCTGAGCAGAGAGGTTCATTCAATACGGTCAGGTTTCCCCTTCCTTTTTGTCTATCAATATTTATTTTTATGCTGGAGGCCAGGAATCTTTCCCAGGAGTTTTAGGCTTTCATAAAAAGCTTTAATCCATTAATTGGTATGTTTGATTTTTGAAGGAAGTTTTCTTAAGAAAAGATATGGATTGTTAAGCATATGGCCTAAGGTCAGCAAAATCAGAAGAGTGCTTTACTATAATGCTGTATTAGTAATTTCCAGTTTGTAGTAGTGGCATGTAAAAAATCTGTCTCAGATCCCTGTTCAGCTCTTCCAGAAAAGAGAGGCATCTAAACTTCATCTCCTATTTTCAACCAGTAAAGGGAGTGTTTCAACAAAATTTATCTGAGCCTACTTTTACTTGCAAATATGTCACATCTGTAGATGGGAACATTATTGTAAAGAATCTAATTATGCAGTCATGACTTCATCATTATTAACAAAGTATGTGCTTATGTACTCACTATTTTGTGTGGTCACTAAACTTTTCAGAACCAATGTGATTATGAATTCAAATAAATTTAAAACTAATAATCAAATGCATGTGTTAGATCAGAAGCCTGACCAATTGCAGATCTACTACTGAAAGAGTGATTGTATCAGAATTTTGTGCTCTGATTTAAATTAGAAGAGGAAAACCCTATAATCAGATAAAGCCTAACAGAAGTTATTTCAGGCAGTGTATAATGTTGATTTGAATTGCTATTGTAGATCTGAGATGTGTCTTCCATATCATTAAAGGGAATATACTCGGGGAGGCGTTTTCTGTTATCTTTATGAAAATGCACACCATCTTCAGAATAGCACAGGGGTTTTTTTTGTTTTGTTTTTTTTTGTTTTGTTTTGTTTTTTGAGAAGGAATAACTGTGTCAAAGAATTGCCTCTGTGCAGAAGTTTTGATAGTTTCTGGTTATCCTGTATGTTCTCTATAGATACGTACATGCTTCTTTCAGTCCTTCCCTCTTCCAAATCTGATCCCTCTTTTCAGTTTTCAGTGTAGTTTCATCTGTGAAGTTGACCTTGAAAAACAAATGTATGTTCTCTCTGTGATGGAATTTCAGACACGTTAGGAGACGGAGCTGGTCAACAGTGGCTTTTTACATCCACACTGAGTTCCATATTGGATTCAAGGAATGAATGGGAGTGATCTTAGCATGGGAGAAGGCTGGGGGAGCAAAGCAGAATCTTCAACTTTGTCCTATGTGTTTTGCAACTATTCTTACTGAGAATAAGGTTTAGGGTTGGGAGTGGAGGGTTAGACTGTGAGTACTCAACTACTGCAGGCTGCAGAAACCTTGTTCTACCATATGGAGAGTGTACTCTGGCTTATGCTTACACAGCTTAAAAAGCAAAACTTCAGTTTAAATGGATTTGTTTTCCTGAAGCAGACTGTTAGAATTCAGTGGTCCAAAAGGTAGAATTACACTTCAGAATGGGTGAAGAAATTCTGATATATTGTTTTGACAAGTCTTTGCAAATCTTTAGGGTCATAATAAGGAGCTTAAGACAAAGCCAAATGCACTCATGTGTAAGGGGAAAGTTTAAGGTTAGTAGTGTTCTATTTCTGATTTATGAGACAGGTTTTTTTTTAGATGTCCTGGTTTTCCAGTTGTCACACACGTGACCTATTTCCAGCCTGCATCCATAGCACATTACATGCACTATTTGCATTTTTTTCCTGTTCTTCTGTAGTGCTACTTGCTTAAACTTTAGCACTATAGCAAATCGCAGATCCTGATCGCTAGGAGGGAGCACCTGTACATTCTGTTTTACACTATGAAGGGCCATCACATAGATGCCTCCAGCTGCAGAACTTGGAGACATTTGTGAAGCTGTAGCTTTTGCTTTTAGATAAGCTAAGTTCCTGTGCGGTTGCTGGTTTGTCTGGGCCTCTTCTGGTCTCCTGATGGAAGGGTAAAGATGTAAAAATCAGTATCTTCAAGGCTTCGATTTCCTTTTGCTGCAGGATTCTTGAACCTGAATTTTAACCACTACACTGACAGTATTTTCAAATGTCATTACTGAGTATAAATCATCTGTTTCATTGGCACTTGTGTTTGCTGATGAGCTCTAAAAATACTTGCTTACTTCCTTAAGTTGTTAAAAGCGGCTCTCAATGATGCTACTTAGCCTTGGACAAAATGGTTGGAACAAGAAGGCATCTGAGATTAAAACAGAATAGGATATCCTGAGTTGAAAGGGGCCCTCTGGGACCGTGGAGCCTAGTTTCTGGCTCCACACAGCACCACCCCAAATCCAAATCCTGTATCTGAGAGTGGTGTCCAATTGCTCCTTGAACACCAGCGCTTGGAGCCGTGCCCAGTGCCCTGGGCAGCCTGTTCCATGCCCACTGCCTTCTGGTGCAGAACCTCTTCCTAGTATCCAGTCTGAATGTAGTGGAAAAAAAAAAAAAAAAAGATGTATTGAGAGCGAAAGGAAAAGCTTTTAGCTTTGTGTTTTGGGAGCCAAGAGACATGCAAAGTTCTCCTTCCTTTTTGTTCTGCATAGTCAGTTGTGGTTGCATAATATGGTGTCCATCTAATGATGTGTTGCTGGGCTTGCTTCCTGTATGATGGCGATTACTGGTAATAACATTGGAGAGAAGTTCTGGTTGTTTCCTGAGCATCTGTTCTCAAAGAAATTTAATCATTGTTAAATCTACTGGGTTTAAGTGATCATGCAAGCTGAACATCACTTACAGTATTAGAAAGTAAGTTGAAAAATGGGATGGGACGAGGCATCTAATTTCTTTCTGAAACACTCACTGCTTACAAAATAACACTAAATATAGCCAGACGTGAGTTAGAGTATATCTAGGTTTTTGTGTTACACAACCCTCTGAACTCACTGGAGTGAAGTTGATTTTTCCTTTTTAAGTAGCAATAAGGGAGAATTAGACAGTTAGTGTGGCTCAAGCAAGTCAGGAGATCAAGTTCCTTCCTCAAAGGATAATGAGACAGGGAGACCAATCTGGGTCCTGGAGATCAGACTTCAGGGTGAGAAGCATGCAGTGTGTGAACATCAGGGCAAGATCAGGTCCTGTGTAGGAGGACACTGAGGTAAAACCAGCTGGGCATTGGTGCATACAGAACAACTTTTCTTTGCCCATCATTTAAGAAACTGCTTGCCAATATGCATTTAAAGGAAATTCTCTTGTACATCACACTTTGGGTCCAAAGTCTCATTCTCCCATTACCTCTGACCTTGTGTTCTGCTTTCTGGTGAGCTCTACCATTAGGAACTGTTTTCCCTCACAACACGTGCGTTACCTAGTGTGTGGATAGGGTGACCAGTGATACTGCAGACCAAGCTTGGTTTTTTCATATATTTAATGCGAAAGATATTTAAAATCTATACAGCTATTGCTAGATACATAGAAAATGTAGCTAGTTAGATACTTGCTTTAGAAGCTGACCCTACTTGAGAACCTGTGTCTTCCTGTTGTACCTCCGTGAAGCCAGTAGAGGGAGCAGTTAGTCAGCTAGCCCAGCCCAGCGTAGATTTGAGACCATTGGAGTAAATGAAAGTACTGTTTCAAAAGTACAGTTTTCCTCATCTCCTTCTCTGTGGGCAATAATAAATTGTTCTAATTCTCTTACTGAGCCATTGACAGGAGTTTAACCTGTGCTATGGATGCAGAGATAGCAGGTGCACCTTGTGTATAACTTAGTATAAATGATTTTGCATACCATTCATAAATTTTACTTTCTTTTTCTAGGAATGGGCCTTAACAAAGGACAAGTCAGTGAAACACATGGATTTGTGCCTTACTGTTGTGGACAGAGCACCTGGTTCACTAATAAAACTTCAGGGCTGCAGGGAAAATGACAGTAGACAGGTCAGTATGTCCTGAGTATACTTCCTGAATAGTGGGAAAACAAGGGTTGTGAATGAGAGTGCAAGAACACGCATTTGTGTCTGTATTCTATTCTAAGGATTCTACTCTTTCTCTGCATCATTCTTTGCATACATAAAATTTGGATACATGACATCCTGCAGAGCAGGAGGAATAATTTTGTATATTGATCTTTCCTTTTTATAAACCAGTGACAATCTTATGATAACGTATAGAGCTGTTATCTCAAAATTGGCCTTATATAAAGGTTTCACACAGCAGCTCTGTTGTGTGACAGTCTTCAACTGTCCTGTCCATTTTCTGAAATAAAATATGTGTTTCATGATGTATATTTGAAAGGCCTTCAGTGAAGTTTGAAGATAACGTAGTCTGTCTCAGGAGGGTGGGGTTAGCTTTCCTTTCCTCTTTCAGCCGTGACCTGTTTATAACAGTGCTAGACTCTGTTGCTAGGTAGACTCCTTATTAATGCAGCCTTAGGAAAATCACATTTGCAGACTCGTATCGCCTTTTTGTTGTTGTCAGTTGTCATGTAACAGTTCTGCTAAGTCATCAGTTCTGATTTTCTGTTACCTTCTTTGTTTCTGTATTTCAATATTTGCAAACAGAAATGATGTCTTGAAGAAGAAAAAAATGCTCTTGCCACTTTTCAGATAAAGAAACCAAGGAGGCAATATTTTCTTGATAAGGCTTGAAGGCAAAAATTCAAAGAAAATACAACAGAGAATCTTTTAACATCTTACAGTTTGTATTTACTCTGTCCTTGGCATCACCTTGGGCAATAGTGCTTCCGACAGCACAGACTAACCAGTTGACATCTTTATAACTGAAAGACATCTGACTGATTTCTAGATTTCTCCAGGCTTGTCTTTGGTGATTGTACTTCTTCCTTATGTTCTGAACTGTAGTAGTAGTAGTGATACTATGGATGGGTTTTGTGACTTACTTTCTTCCTCAAACTAAAGGCTTTGGAAAGTCAAATATGGTGTGACAGCATATTTGAGAAATGCTGAAGTAGAAGAAAATGATTTGGTGCATTCTGTATCTTGTGCAGCGCACTAGCTGAAAGAACAGTTGCTTTGACAAGGCTTTCTATAATGTACATACCCTTAATCAAGGATTGTCTAAACTGCATTATTGCAGTATTCACATCTCTCCTAAGCACAAGCCAGGAAAGCACATGAAGATTTCAGTTGATGGGATATAGAATGCATTTTTTTCCTGACTTTTACAGCTTAACTTTATTCTCTCTTTCAGAAATGGGAGCAAATTGAAAGCAACTCTAAACTGAGGCACGTTGGCAGCAACCTCTGTCTAGACAGCCGAAATGCCAAAAATGGTGGTCTCACTGTTGAGATCTGCAGTCCTTCTTTATCACAACAGTGGAAATTCACACTTAATCTGCAGCAGTAGAACTTACAAGCAAAATGCTGTTTCAACTCATAGACATCGGGCAAAGTTTTGATTGAATTACTGATGTATTTCTTAAAACTTTCCACGGAACTTATATACCTCAGTATTCCATCTTTATCTGAAAGTAGGAGAGTGCTGAAGCGGACACCAGGGAACAGGTGGACTCGGAGCACTGCAAAGATTTCACTGAACGTGGCCTCAGCACGGCTCCTTCTTGGTGTGAAGACTTTAACAGTTCCTTTCTGTCTTCAGTTACATACTTGCACAGCAGATAACTAACTCTAGGAACAACTGATGTATGATAGAAAAAGGATCTTGAAAAACGCCTGTGGGGAACAGGGTCTGGGAGGGAGGGTGGGAAAAATTACCAGGAGAAGGTCATTTGAAATCTCCATTTACATAGAAATGCATTGTTTGTTGTTTCCAAAAACAGAAGTGTCATTTTGAACGTTTTTTTTTCTTGTGTGTACTTGGTAATTTGAATATGAACTTTTCTATGATGGACTCTAAATATAAATATATAAAATATATATATTGCCAGCTCCCAATGATTTGTATCGATTTTCATCACCCTATAATTATCAACGAAGTCATTGGCGTATGTATAACCAGAAATTGGATCAAAATGCTAGAAGAGTGGATGTTAACGAAGGTGCAGATTTTGTGCTGCTGAGTATGATGTCCGTGCTAACACTGGATGCTTTGCTTTGCAAACTGGATCTACGTTTTGAAGCTTCTCCCTCACTGGAGATCATGAAACTCAGGAGGAGAAAGAAAACAGCAGAATAAGCCAATGCATCTGCACAGATGATTGCTCGGATTGTTTATTCCAGCTTGGGAATTCATTACACGTGCTCTGGATATCGTTAATCTTGTACTTGATATTTGTGTTGATGATTTCTGTAATATTATGTCCTGAAATACTTCTCTTCATTACAAAATTGTACGAGTGGTGCAAATCTTGCACAGATGCAGCCATGTGGGTTCAGCACAATTTTATTCTGGGCCCTCATCATAACAAAAATTTCCTTGTCTCAAACTCCCCTCTTGAGTTCTGAGAATAAGGTGGAAGGGAACGTCACTGTTGGCAGCATGAGGTCTGAATTTTAATTTGCAAGGATGAGCAGTTAGGTAATATCTCTGAATTGCACTTACTTAATTTATAGGCCTGCTACTGGGTAACTTTCTTGTTTGTTTTTTTTTGTTTGTTTGTTTGTTTTTTCATTATATGGGGCTTTTGGGTGGATTCAGGTTTGGCTCTGGGAATCAGTCTGGATACCAGCAGATCCTATGTGGTGTTTTTCACCACTGAGCCTGTGTGTTTTACAGCGACAACTCAGCTGATGTCATTTTTATATTAAAATAATACTGTCAAAGTTAAATCAACTTTGACCTGTACTTTCTTATGTTTGCATAGACTATGTACTTTTTTATTAAAACAAATAAATAATTAAATGCTTGAATGAGCTTCTAAAATGAAAAGTGAGTAGTTTCAGCACTGATAAGTAACACAGCATTGGTGGGAGGAAAAAAAGAAAAGAAATAGTGCAGGCCTGCGATGCCAGGAAGTGGTTTTGGTAAGATAAGGATCTTGGGGAAAAGCGTAAGAGTTGATCATAAGGAGATGAAAAGCATCTGCTGTACTGTGTAACTCCAGTACACTCCCTTCTTTCTTTATTTCTGGAAGTAGAGCAGTTCCTGATTCTCGTGTTTCCTTTGGCTGCATCTGTATGCTAGGTATAGAGGTGGTACTCTTCTGGTCAATGGCTCTAATTATGTCAGTCAGTGTGCCACAAATATCTTGTGTCTCTGGAGCTATGACCTGCAAGTATCTGCATACCTTTTGGATGTACACATTGAATCCAACTTCTCCCATCCATCTGACTTTTTTTTTTCATATGTGGATAATTAATGCTTTTTTTTTTTTGCTTTTTTTTTTTTTCTTCACAGTCTATTTTCCATGGCCATGCAGTGGGTAAACTAGTTTCCATTTTTTTGTCTCTCCCTATTTGTAGCCTTTTAACCTTGCTGAGAACTTGAAGAACATGGTTCATAACATAGCAGTAGATTTCTGAATATTCTGGAGAATAAATGCTGAAATGTGGGCTCAGCAGCAAACCAGTTCTTGAGGTTTTGGAAAACAGAATATAGAAGGAGAAAGCACTCAGCTTCTATGTGGTTACTTTCACTTGCAACTTGGATCATAGTAAACGTAGTGCTCAACTGAGATCAAAAGTTGTAGCTCTGAACATTGGCCTCTTAACTCTGAGATAGAAAAAAAAAAATCGTATTCCACCTCTTAAGACTTTAATGTCAACTGGTATCATAAAAAGTAGGAATATTTTCACTAATGCCCCATGGATGCTGTGCATAGGGGCTTTAGTACAGGAGATGTATGTTAAAGACAGCATTACTTTTCTTTGAGAGAACAGACAAGTGTTATCCTTTTGTTATGTTTACATGACAGTGTGCCAAAGTTAATTACTGTGATATACAAATATTTAGGAAATTGGCCCATGTGAAAGATAAATTAAAAGCCCTTGAAGCAAATGGTGATGGAGTCTTCTGAGAACTTTTCTTACCATCTTCAGAGCAAGAATGGTGATGTTGTTTGTTTTGCAGATTTTCAAAACTTAGTTTGGAAACTGTTTTTTCAGTTGGTTTGAAAAGTCTGCTGTACAGAGCTTGTACTTTGTTCATTTTATAGATGGAAACCATCCTTGAAAAATTGTTTAACTTAAATAAAGAAGAATGCTTTATAGATACATGTGTGGTGGTTGATGCAATTAAGTAAAACCAAGAAGTCTGCCTGAAGCTTGGTTATTTTGTAATTGTTGTAAAAGTGTGTGTACATGAATATATATTTATATTTAAGAAAAGAGAATTTGTATTTAATATGATAGCTTTGAGGAAATTCTTATTTTCAAAGCTGTTTCCAATTGGGTGAATTTACCCTGACAGTAGTTACCTAAAAATACGTGGTTAAGGCATGGCCCTTAACATGACCCGGTTAGATCTGATCTTCTCAAGACTAATGCTGTTCCTCTTTTCACTTTTAGAAAGTGCTGTTCCAAGCATGGCAGGGCTTACTTCAGCCTGGAGGGACTCGAGGAAGATGATTGCAACAACGGCTCTTGTAGTTGATTGGCATGCCTGTCCTCGTCTGCTCACATCATGGAACGTGCCCAAAGGACAGCAAAGCTGATGAAGGGTCTTATGGAGAGTGGCTGAGAGATGTGGGATTATTTGGTCTGACGAAGAGGAGGCTCAGGGGAGACCTTACTGCTCTTCACAACTCCCTGAAAGGAGGTTGTAGTGGAGGTCAGCCTTTTTTCACAGGTAACAACGATGGGTTGAGAGGAAATGGCCTCAAGTTGAAGCAGTAGAGGTTCAGGTTGGATATTAAGAAAAATTTAATCTCTGGAATAGTGGTGAGGCAGTGGCATAGGCTGCCCAGGGAGACAGTGGATTCACCATCCCTAGAAGTATTCAAGAACCATGTGGATGCGACACTGAGGGACATAGGTAATAGGCATGGTGGGGATGAGCTCACAGTTCTATTAAATGATCTTAAATGTATTTTCCAGTCTTAATGATTCTGTGATTTTGTGTTTCTCTCTGTGCTTAATCAGAGATTTCTTTTGTGTGCTGGGCGGTAATTCAGATGTCTGTGGTGCTCTTGAAGAAATATCTGAAGTACTCTCTAAAACAAAACTAAAAAAGACACCTTTTCTAGAAGTATTTTTTTTCCTGGGGGATAAGAACCTCGCAGGTGTAGTTCAGAGAACTTTCAAATGAAGTGTCACACTGGCCCAGTTGGGGAGGGGGCAAATTCTCCATAGCAGGTGATGGAAAGCTGTGAATGTGAGATCTTCCTCTTGTGGGCTGCAGTTGGGACGCAGTACCTGATTGCAACATATCTATGATAGATGTGGGCTGCAAATTCAACAACTCCAACAGGGTACAATCTGTCCAGGAGGGCAAGCAGGAGCATGGATGAAGTTAAAATCCCAGCTGAGAACAATTTCTGGGGCTTAAATGAGCTTGAGGCACATCCTTTTCTACTCAGCAGCATATGGAACTACAACATTTGCTCTTGCTCTGAGAAACCTAGGTTTGCAGTTAGCCCCAAGGACTTATCAGCTAGAATAACCTGCAGAGGCATTTATAGGAAAGATATAAATGCTTTAATTGTACTGACAGGAGGATTTTTGCCTATCAAGCCGTAGGGAAGGAGAATTCTTTGGTGTAAGCTTACTCTCCCTGTGTGCTGGAGGTAGGAGACTAGTTGTCACCTTTCAGAAGGTTTGAATGAAGTCTAAATGGAATCTTCTATCAAGAAAATAGACCACTGATTAATATTTATGGTTGGAAAAATAAAATTGCCCTGTCAAACTGCAGTAAACAGAAGAAAACACCTTGTATTTAGGGATTGTATTTGAGAATTCAAATGAGGGTTTTCCATCTTAAATGCCTTTTGACACCTCTGAGCTGGCAGGTAATACTAGAAAGCAATTAGGCTTCTGGGAGTAGTACCTTTGTAATCTAATCCAGTGATAAATGCAGAAGTCTGTCTCATGTCTCTGTAGAGCCTTAGGCTTTTTCTGTGGGTGCTTTTCCTAGTAAGCTGCTTAATGTAAGTATCTGAACTGTCCAGCAATTTCTGCATTCTTTCTGACTAAAACTTAATTGTTTCTTTTGCCTTATTTCCAAATATATATCAAAGTTTCTCATCTTTTGAAACTTCCAAGCTAGAATGTCAGGTTGTGCTTTTTTGCCTATTTATATGCATGGGTTTTCTGTTTGCCTATCACTGTGCTCATAGTCAGATATTTACGCCATTTTTATAAAAAACATTACAACTGTTTTTCTTCATGTTTAAATAAAATATATTTTAAATATATAATTTTCAAGAGAATCCCTGACTGTACATAACTGAATACTGAAAGATTATAATGCTAAACTGCTCGAGGTAAGGGTGGTTGTCTTAGTTGAAGTGGGTCCCGTAGAGTACTGTCCAATTCCTGTCTGGAATAGGACTACCATAACCTTTGTTAATTTTAAGTTACATTTTTATATATGAAAAAGTCTACACTGTTTTACTTGTATTTATATTAAATCTAGATATGCTGTGGATTAGTGTGATCCTCAGTTGCATGCATCACTCTCCTCATCCAGACTGAAATACAATGAAATATTTTATAGCAATAATTACAGAATGCTCTAACAAGAGGCTTATTCCTGTACAGAATGACTTCAAATGAATAGAAGCCATTAAAAAAAATAGTCTGGTATAATAGGCTGTGATTACAGAATGAGCAAAAATGTCAGAGTTGTATCTCTTGTCAGACTGCACATTTTATTTACAACTTATCATCCAGCAGCTATTTTCAGATCTGCCAGTAATCAAGCTGAAAAATTGGGAATCAAGTCAGTGCACAGATGTTCTCTCTGTACGGCCCTCCAAGAGGTTGTTGGATGAATGGGTGCAAAATACTCTTTTGACTGGATTTGATTTCTTGCATAGAGAGCTACAATATGCTCCTATGCTGCAGGAAGAGGGACCTGTTTGATTTCAATTTGCTATTTCTACCCAGCAGATGTATGATGTTGTTTTAATTAAAAGAGATCTTGGAATAGGAAACACCTATGTTTACTGCCACGCTCACATTATTTAAACCTTGCCTTTGGAAGTCCAAAGTCTTTAAGATAAAAACAGGGGGTTAGAAAGTGATACTGAGTGCTCTGCCCTGGTTGCCTGGTGAGAAATATTTCTATAAAATTTACTTCTTAACATTTGTGCTCCTCGTCAAGAAAATTAGCAACACTGAAATGCCAAAGCACTTTGCCCATCCTGTGGAGCTGTGGGGTGCATCAGCTGTATTTTCCCTCCTGGTCATCACAGTGAGACCTTGGATACCAGTTTGTCTCTGTCTTGTACTGACCTGTGAGTTAGCAAACACTCATTAGATGTGCTTTGTAGTGGGCTAATGAGGAGCATAAAGAAGGTTGCAAATAAAAAAAATCATGGGAAGAGCTCAGTTGTTCCTTTCAGTGGCTGCAAGCCATTGGAGCTTGGCTTAACTAGATTGCAAATCAAACCCTTTGTTTTTTGAGTGAGCTTGAGTGCTGGGATATTCTTTTTTTGCTTTCCAGTGGAGTTGACTTCTGTGTAGTGGGTTTTTGGTTTTTTTTATGATTACAATTTATTACCAAAACAGCCTTACTGCTGGTATCAGTGACAAGTTGGGAAGAGAGAAGGGAGAGCAAGAGATGGAAAGGAAACATTTTATTAAGTTAGATCCAAACCTCAGTTTTAGCATCAAGTTTGTTTGATTGGGATTTTAGCTACTTGGAAGGGGATTGACTCTCTCATTGAGATAATCTTCAGAAAGAAAATGTTACACCTTGAATGCAGTTTGTGTTTTGTATGATATGGTGCACACCGTAATGGTGTTGGACTCTGACAACTGCTCTCAGAATTATATTAAGGTTTTAATTTGTCTTTTTCTATTGAAAATTGTAGGAGCTATAAAAGAATATGAT